AGCCAGGGATGTTGAGCATTTCCTCAAAGTTTTATTGGCCATTCCATTCTTACTTCTGAGAAATCTCTAGTTCCTTTATTCTTTTATTGATTCATTTTTCTTTTTGTGTTGTTGATCTTGGGGCTTGAACTCTGGGTCTGGGTGCTGTCCTTGAGCTCTTCAGCTCAAGGCAAGCACTCTACCACTTGAGCCACAGAGCCACTTCTGGTTTTCTGCTAGTTAATTGGAGATAAGAGTCTCATGGACTTTCCTGCCTGGGCAGGCTTTGAGCCATGATACTCAGATCTCACCCTCCTGAGTAGCTAGGATTACAGGCGTGAGCCACCAGTGCCTAGAAAATTTATTCACTTTTTATGTGGGGGTTTCTTGAGCTCCTTGTATATTTTGGATATTTTGTTGATGTAATAACTGGTAAAAATTGTCTCCCAGTCTGTTGGCTGTCTTTCTAGTTGTGCAATTTGTCCTTTGCTGTGTGTTAATTTGATATAATTCCATCTGTCAAGTCTCTCTTCTATTTGCTGTGTCCCAGGGACTCTCTTTCAAAAAGTTCCTGCCTATTCCTATAAGTTGTAATGTTTCTCCCACTCTATCTTGTAGTTTCAGAATTTCAGGTTGGATATTGAGGTCTTTAATCTACTTTGAGTTGACACTTGTGCATAGTGACCAACAGATTTAATATCCAGTTTTCTCCATATGGACATCCAGTTTTCCCAACACTATTATTATTTTTTTAAATGTTTTTATAAAGGTGATATACAGAGGGGTTACAGTTACAAAGGTCAGGTGAAGAGTACATTTCTTTTTGGACAATGTCACCCCTACCCTCACTGCTAGCTTTTCCCTCCCATCCTTACCCATTTCAACACTAATTATTGAAGAGACGTTTTACCAACTTATATTTTGACTTCCATATCTAATGTCAGATAACCATAAATATATAGTTTTATCTCTGGGTTTTCTATTCTGTTCCATGGATCTTTAGGCCTGTTTTTGTGCCGGTAGTAAAGTAATTTTGTAGTGAAGTTTGAGGTTTGGAATTGTGATACCTCCAGTATTGCTTTTTTGCCTAAAATTGCTTTGGCTTGTGGTCTTTTGTTGTTCATGTGAATTTTTGGATTGTTTTCTCTATCTCAGTGAAAAATGTCTTTGTGATTGTGAGGGGGATAGCACTGAATTTATAGATCACTTTTGACAGTATGGCTGTTTTCATGATATTACTTCTACCTATCCATGAACATGGGGGGTCTTTCCATTTCTGATGTCTTCTTTCAGATCATTATAGTTTCCACTGGAGGTCTTTGGCTTCCTTGGTTAGACTTATTCCTAAGGGTTTTTATTTTGTTGTTATTTGTTTGTTCTGAGACTATTGAAAATGGGATTGTTTTTCAAGGTAAAGTTGCTTTTCTTTTTAATGAGTTAAAACCTTTACAATTATTTGAGTGTTGTTCTTCATACCACTAATTCCAACATCTAAGAGACTAAGGCATGAGTATTGCAAGTTTGAGACTAGTCTGGACTGCATAGTGATAGCCTTTTTTTTTTTTTTTAAAGAACTTCGTTATTTAATCCATTACTTTTACATTCATCCTCAGAGTCATGGGCAAAACATAGACAAATGTTTTATTAGAACATAAAAATGGTCTCAAGTCTAGTTCCCAAGAGTCCTAATTTCCACCTGAAAGCTTATGAGCACAGTCTTTATTGTCTGTATTTCTGTCAGCATTTTAATCTGAGCTCCCATCAGAATTGTCTGTTAAGCTGAGTTTACAGAGGTTAATATTGTTTTATATTGATTTTGTAGGTTTTTCTTTGTGGTGTTTAATTGAACTCAAGGCTTTCTTTTTACTAGGCTGATGATGTAATGCTTGAATTACGCATCCAGCCTCTTTAATTATTTTTTGAATAGAGTTTTACATTTCTTCCTGAGCAGGTCTGGAATGTGACCCATCTATATATTCTATGGTTGGAATGTCAACTCATGCCACTATGCCTTGCTTTTTATTGGTTGAGATAAAGTCTTGTTAATTTTCATTCAGGTTGGCCTTGCACTGCAATCCTCTGATCTCTGTCTCCCAGCCAAGTAGCTAGAGTTACATGCCACACTGATTTTGTAGTTTTTCCTAATGTGATTCTATTTATATATTACCAACGATCTAGTGTATTTTGTACGTTGTGGGCATCTGTTACTTGCATGAATAAGTTTGTTTCCTAACTTCTACTATTGATGTGACACTGTGTTATAATAAGAAATAGATGTTTGAATTTCTTCCCACTTTATGGCAGAAAGCTCCTAAAACTGGAATTTTCTAAGTGATAGGAAGAGTGAAAGAGAGCTTGCTTCTTTTATTACTTATAATAAGCCCTCTACTGCTGTACCTTAGTTTATGCTAATGAAGTAGCTTAATGATTCTTTGGTTAGGTAGCTTTAGGTTGGGGATTGTTGTGTTACTTGACTCAAAGTCCAGCTGCTTACTGTACAATAGGATAATGGAGACAAGGTATCAGGATAAGGAAGATGGCTTTTTCAAAAAGCTGACTAGACAGAAAATAGAGGATTCTAGGTACTCAGTTCATCTTGCTAAGAAGCTGGTCTCATTTATATGTAGATGGTTTACAAGTATTGGTAGAGTGGTGGGCACTTTTCACAATGGGTAAGTATAGATTGGGGTGGACCATCTCATACTGGGTGGGACAGATGATACACATGACTTGTGTAAATATCAAAAACAAAGATCATAGCTGGGCGGTGGTGGCTCACGTCTATAATCCTACCTACTCAGGAAGCTGAGATCTGAGGATTTGGGTTGAAAGCCAGCCAGGGCAGGAAAATCTTGTGAGACTCTTATCTCCAGTTAACTACCAGAAGATTAGAGGCTTGGAACTTTCAGCTAACTATACCTCTTACCCCCAGGAATAAAGAGAGGCTAGGAATTTAGTTAATCACCAATAGGGAATGATTGAAGTAATAATTTCTACTTAATAGAACCTCCATGAAAACCTTACATTTTAGGATTTGGAGACTATACAGGTTGTTGAACAAATCACTATTCTACCAGGATACTTCTTACGCTTAAGATTTTTCTAAATCTTGTTCTTTATACTCCTTCATCTGGTAGTTCATTTTTACCACTTAAATATCCTTCATAGCAAGTCTAAGTAAAATGTTTCTCTGTGTTATTTGAGGCATTAGAGAAAATTATTGAACCAGAGGAGGAGATTGTGGGAAACACTGATGTGTTGCCACGTTTGACAGAACTGTGGATAATCTGGGAAATCTATTATATTGTTTGCTATGGAAAACCACACATTTGGTTCAGACCAGTAAACACAGTACGTGGCTGGATTTTTTTTTCCTCATGTCAAAGGACAATAGCCTTGGCCAACTTTCTACATTCTCATAGTAGGCCTGTATTCTTGCTTTTTTCCTTCCTTCCTTCCTTCCTTCCTTCCTTCCTTCCTTCCTTCCTTCCTTCTTTCCTTCCTTCCCTCCCTTCCTTTCTCCCTCCCTCCTTCCCTCCCTCCCTCCTTCCCTCTCTCCCTCCTTCTCTCTCTCCCTTCTCTCTCTCCCTGACTCCCTCCCTCCCTTCCATGTTCCTTCCTTCCTTCTCCTTGTATCCTCTATCTCTCCTCTTTCTCCTCTCTCTTTTCTCTCCTCTAGGTCCTTATACTCTCCATCATTTTTTTCACTCACAACTGGTGCTCTGCCACTTGAGCCATATCTCCAGTTCCAGCAAGAGTCTCCAGTTCCAGTTCAGGAGTCTCTTGAATTTGTCTGCTATGGCTAGCTCTGACCTGCAATCATTAGCTTTCAATTTCCTGAGTAGCTAGTATTATAGGCATAAACGACTTGCATGAGTGACTAATGCCCAGCTTAATTAAGGAGTTTACTTAAAATAGTTGTAGCAAACAATGATATGTAAACCCAAAAGACATGGAAAGTAGAAGAAAAACAAAACAAAACCATTATAAGATAGGAGATTTAATTTTATATTTTTTGAAATCTCTAAAGGCTATACAAGAGGCTACAATTTAACATGTCTAAGTACTTGTCCAGTGCTTCTTAATCAGAGTCACCCCTTCCTGACTGTTCCTTGCCCCCAAACTCTTTTTGCTTTTTCCATTTTCTTTATCACATATATACATTGAGTATTCTTCTTATATTTGTTCTCTGTTTTCATCCATCCATTCCTCTTTTACAACTAGATGGAGACTTCTCATGTGTAGTTCCTTTCACTTTCTTTTAGTTTTGGCCAGAGATTTGTTTTTGTATTTTTCATCTTCAGTACTTATCAAAATCCTATGGATAACAAAATACTTTGGACAACAAAGTACAGCCTCACTAACACTTTTGGGTTATGGTAATTGCTGTTCTTAGGTGGGATACAGCTATGAACTCTTTCTCTCTGTAATTGTTCCTTTTGAACTGTACCTTTAGTGTTTTCTAGCCATATGTGTTGAAAACATAGTTTTACAACTAATATTCTTCCCTTGTTTGTCTTATTAGACTTTCATAGACCACCGAGTCTCAGAATTCTGAAGAACATAAGAACAGATTTAATATCCCTTATTGGAAATTTTTGGAACCAAAAGTGTTTGTTGGATTTCAGATATTTTTCATACTTGTATATATGCAATATCTTGGTAAACACAACCCAGTCTTAACACCAATGGTTAGGTTCTTACATTAAATTCATGTTTATATATATATATATATATATATATATATATAATACATATAACCTGGAGGTAATTTATACAATAGCAAGATAATTTTATGCATGAAATAGTTTAATATGGTATTTCTTCTTATATGTATGATAATACATATAGATGTCTTGATTTACACAGGAAGTCTTCCATAAAGGATGCTCTTAGTATTATTGTTTATTATTATTGTGAAGACATTTATTCTCCTTATGAGAAAAGGTTTATATCGATACATGGTTTATGAATATATTGTAAATACCTGATTTGATTTTTCTCCTCTGTTTATATTTCAGACTCCTGGGAGAGTTGGCTCTCAAGGTTCTGATTTAGATTCTTCAGCAACTCCCATAAATGCAGTGGATGTGAATAATGAAAGCTCTTCAGAGGTATAAAATTATACTTTGGTGGCAAAATTCATTATCATTTAAAGGAAAATTAGCAACTATTTTTAGCAATAATTGATGACTTATTTTTATAGGAAAAGTTCTCAATGTTGTGTCTGTTGCAAATGAGAACATGACTTTTGAAGTGTATACCTGTCAGTTGTGAGACTGAGAAAGTGCGTATTACTGCCAATTTGTCTCCCATGCTTCGGTCATCTTGATTTAATGAAGCTTTTTTCAGTCTTCTAATAAAGAATTAGTGGTCAATTCATATCTCCTTGTTTTATGTGTTTGTACTATCATGAACCATTCAGGGTAATGAAAGTTAGGTTGTCTTTAAAATGTATTCAAGACCAATTTTATATCTTCAGAAAGTTGCATTAGTATTCTTATTTTTAACAAGTAGTATTTGCTCATGTTAGAAAATGGAGATAAGGAAGAGAAGAACAAAAAACTCATCCATACTGCTGCCAAGAGAACTAGGACAAGACTGAAGTGGTAGAATACCTGCAAGCCCACTGTCCTGAGTTCAACCCCTAGTATTGCCACTAAAAGTAGTTTTTTTCTTTGGTGGTACAGTACCAAGGATTGAACACTGGGCCCCACTCATGTTAGGCAAGTGTTCTAATACTCAGTTATCCACATAGCCCCAGTATTTTATATTTATTGTCTTTTGTGTTCATAAGTTGTTTTGTATTGTTGCTACTTAGATTTTTCTATATTATTCATTCTTGTATCTTTAACCTTCCAGTTGCACTCACTGTCTTCTTCATAATACGTCCTTTTGATTGTCTTTTATGAAGGTTGACTTTCTAGATTCTAGGTTTTATTTTAAAATTTATTTATTTGTTGTTTGTTTGCCGGTTGTGGGGCTTGAGCTCTGGGCCTGGGCACTGTCCCTCAGCGCTTCAGCTCAAGGCTAGTGCTCTACCACTTGAACTACAGTGCCATCTCCAGTTTTCTGAGTGGTTTATTGGAAATAAGAGTCTCATGGACTTTCCTACCGGGCTGGCTTTGAACCTCGATACTCAGATTTCAGCCTCCTAAGTAGCTAGGATTACAGTCATGAGCCATTGGCACCCGGCTAAAATTTTATTTATTTCATGCTCGCTCTTGAAATAAGATTTTGCCAAGTGTAAAATTGTACATATTTTTTCCATATATTGAGCATATCCATCTCTTTCCTTTCTGGGTAACACTGTTACTGTTGAGAAGACTGCTTTCAATCTATTGTATGTTCTTTTTAGATAGTCTTTTCTTCTATTCCTCCAGTTGTTTTTATAATCAAGCAACCAACCCTCTCTGTATCTCTTTCTCTCATATTTCTGATTGTTATTTTATCCAGCTTGGGATTCACTGGGCTTCCTGCACCTATAAATGTGTTTTTGAAGTGTTGATGATTATCTTTGAATATTGCTTCTTTTTTTGTTATTGCTACTTGAAATACAGATTAAATTTTTTGCTAAAATTTCTTATTCTATTCTTCATCCTATTTTTTTAAAATATATATTTTGTCTGTTTTAAATTCCAGATTAAAAGATATATGTTATCCAACTTACTATCCTTTTCTGGAATGAAGCTACTACTTAATCATCCTACTTGTTTTTAATGTATTCCTTTTTGGTCCTAAAGGTTGTTTTCATGTCTGATCTTTTTAGTATTTTAAAATTTTTCTTTAAGTATGCTAAATATGATTATGTTTTCACCTGTTAATTTTATGAAGCTATTAAGCTATTTGAATCTTTGCAGGTTTGACTTTATTGCTGGTTCTTTCTTCTCGTTATTGTCCCTAACTCCTTATTTTCTTATATATTCTATGATTTATTTTTCTTAAATATTAATGTCAAAATAAGTGTAGTAAGCATTTGCACAGTTAGTACAATGATCCCATGTTCCCTTCACCTAGTTTTCCTGGTGGTTACATGCTACATGTTGTTAGAGCACCATAAAAGCAGTTGACATTTGTACGATGTATGTGAATGATTTTTATGCCATTATAATACATACCATAGAGTTGTGTAACTACTACTACACATAAGAGGTGGAACTCTCCATTACTACAGAGATCTCCCTGTGCTATCCAAGAGTGAGTTGTCACCATGCTTATGATTTTTTTTTGAAATGGATTCTCCCTGTATAGCTCCTGCTGGCCCCAAACTCTTGATCTCTGACTGTGTCTCTAGTAGCTGGGATTATATTATAGGTATGAACCACCATACCTGAATAAAAAATGAATTTATGTCCTTGGAGCCCCCCTCCCCTCCTATTGGTAGTGCTATAATATTCATGCTTGCTAAGCAAGTGCTCTATCTTTTTAGCTATTCTCTGAGCCTGAATCTTTTTTTTTTTTTTAATCTTTTGGTTATTTTTTAGCTTGGGCTAACCTGAGACCGTGATTCTCCTTCTTATCCCTCCCAGTTGCTGGGATTACAGGTACATGCCACCATGCCTGGTGCCATAATTGAGTGGAACCCTTGCTTATCAACACCCATTCTCAAATATATGAGGCAAAAAGAAAAGAAAAGAATAAAACAAGACGGAGAACTCATCACTGTTTTTTCTTTGGTCTTGAGATACCTAACTGGTCTGTTTTTTTTTTCACCTTTCATAGTCTTTTTATGTTTGTTTTATTTATAATATCTAGGGATTTTATCTGTACTTAACAGAAAAAGTATGGAACAGTACATAAATTTCATTTTGTCAAGAACTAGAAATCTCTTTAAGCAATTGTGTTAATTAGTTGGGTGCTGGTAGTTCATGCTTGTAAATCCTAGCTAGCTGTTCAGGAGACTGAGATGTGACATGGTTACAAACCAGCTGGGGCATAGAGTCTGCAAGACTTCATCTCCAGTTAACCAGCAAAATTCTAGCCTAGAGGCATGGCTTAAGTGGTAGAGTGCCAGAGGTGACAAGAAACCAAACACAAAGACCTTATATCAAGCCCTGTTACCAACACTAAACAACAACAAATGGTTAATTAGCTCTTTATAATTGAATTGTAAAAATTCCTTATTCTTTATCAAATTTAAATCTTTTTTTTTTTTTTTTTGTTGGTGGTGGGGCTTGATCTCTGGGCTTGGGTGCTGTCCCTCAGCTCTTCAGCTCAAGGCCAGCACCGCTTGAGGTACAGGGCCACTTCTAGTTTTACTAGTGGTTTATTGGAGATGAGAGTCTCACAGACTTTCCTGCCTGGGGTGGCTTTGCTTTGAACCTCGATCCTCAGATCTCAGCTTCCAAAGTAGCTAGGATTACAGGCGTGAATCACCAGTGCCCGGCTTAAAATAAATCTTGATACAGGCCAATGCCTGTAATCCTAGCTACTCAGGAGGATGAGATTTGAAGATCTGGTTAAGCCAGCCCAGGCAGGAAATTCTGTGAGGCTCTTGTCTCTAATTAACCTGGAAGTCAGTTGTGGCTCAAGTGGTAGAGTTCTAGCCTTCAGCAAGAAAGCTCAGGGACAGTGCCTAGGCCCCCAGTTCAAGCTTCAGGACCAGCACACAGACACACACACACACTCTCTCTCTCTCATCTTTTGTTGGTGTTTTCCTCCTATAAATGGGAGGAATTCTCATCCTTTGTATTATGGAATGTCTGAACATTGGATGGATGTGATACATAGCAACTTATTTGGCAATATATTCACAGCCTTGAGGTGGATACCAAATGACAGGGAGTGCTACTTGAAGATTGTACTTGGGAACAAAATGAGCAGTCAATGGCTGTGGGAGGCAGGCTTTACAGTATCAAGAGGATGAAATACCTCCTTGTTTCTAGAGGAAGTATGATTCACTTGTTTGAATAATTCTAGGGGCTGGCAGAGAATTAAAACCCTCTAATCAAGGATAAGCAGGCACTGTGCCTGGTCCCTATGATAACAAGCATTTGACTAGGGGGACTTATCTGCTAGAGCAGAGTGGGGAGAGGAAATTGTGGATAGGAGATTTGAAGCCCTCCCCATCATATGTCAAGGAAGCACTCAAAATTTGGACTTAATTTTAGGTAGCATATAAAATACAATTGTGGAGAGCAGTTATCTTGTTTAGTTTCTGAACCTAGAAGACTAGTATTTAAGGCTTTTTTTTTTATTGAGAATGATGGTAGACATATTTTTCCTCTATTAATGAGGGTTTCTATTTTTTTTTTTTTTTTTTTGGGTCTGGTCATGGGGCCTGAACTCTGGGCTTGGGCGCTGTCCCTCAGCTCTAGGTTAGAGCTCTACCACTTGAGCCACAGCGCCACTTCGGGCTTTTTTCTTTCTGCTTATGTGGTGCTGAGGAATCGAACCCAGGGCCTCAGGCATGCAAGGCAAGCGCTCTACCACTGAGCCACCTTCCCAGCCCCTGAGGGTTTCTATTCTAATGATGTTTTCTATTCAGTTTCCTTGAACACGTGAGCCTTTTGGGGAAAAGACTTCATTTCCAAGCCATAACACGTTTATTCAAATTTAATTGTCATGAGACCTATATATAGTACTTATTACTGTTAAATCACTTAACAGTTGAGGGAATTGAAGGTCACCCAGCTACTCCAAGTGCTATGAATCAGGATTTAAGCCTACTAGGGTTTGATCTCAGGGCCTCATACTTTTTAAGCTTGCTTTACTCAGCAGGTACCATTTAAGCCATATCCACAGCCCTACTATTTTCTGGTTATCTCAGAGATGGAGTCTCACAGACCTTGCTGTGTGGAATAGCCTCAAATTGTGATTCTCTGAATCTCAGCCTCCTGAATAGCTAGAATTACGGGTATGACCTAGTCAGGTCTGATTTGTATTTATTTTTATTATCATAAGCAGCTAAATAAAGGGGTTTCAATCAACATATCCATTTATTTGTGCATCTTCATCAATATCTTCCCTTCCATTGTTCTTTTTCATTTCTCTGAACCTCATCTATCCCCTCAAGTTACCTGGTCCCATTTTTATATATGTATAGTGAATATTATGATTATATCTGCCTACTTTTGTTCTCTCCATTCATTTGCCCTTCTCTTGACCTCCCTCCTTCCCAACATGTTTCAACTTCCTGGTATTCATTTTATTTATTGATGAGTTAGTTGTTTGAAGGAGTTGTGTCATTGCAACTCTCCCTAGCATATACTATCCTTTAGAAGAAAAGTTTGTGTGTATAAGCATATAATCCTGTATATGTTTTCTCATTTTTTCCTGTATATGTTTTCAAATGTTCATAATTTAAACCTAACTTCCACATATGAGAGAAAACATGCTCCCTTTGTCGCTAAGTCAGGCCTAACTCTTATTTGCTATCTTGACATACCTCCTACTTTTGAAACTTACCTTTTGTCTTTCTATACTTTCTTGATGTTATCCCAAGTGAAATCTAGTGACTCAAGGAGCAGTGTACCTCTCCAGTTCTTGATGTTGCCAGTTCCAATAATCTTCATTACTTCTTTCCTAGCTACTTATTTCTGTTAGTACCTGTTTGTTTCTCATCAGCTTAACCTAAAATATTAAAATCATTATCTCTCATTTTCTGTGTGTGTATGTGTGTCTGTTTCTCTCTCTCTCTCTCTCTCTGTGTGTGTGTGTGTGTGTTGTGTGTGTGTGTGTGTGTGTGTGTGTTTTACCAAGGGTTGAAATTGATCTTTGCATTTGCCAGCAAGTACTCTATATGAGCCACACTCAAGCCCTCCGCCCCTTTTTTTTTCAGAGTCACCCTTTCTATTTGGGCCATCCTGAATTATGGTCTTCCAATTAATGCTTCCTCCTACTTAGCTAGGATGACAAGCCAATCTGGCTTTTTGTTGGTTTGTATGGCATCTTGCATGCTTTTTGCCTGGGTTATCCTTGAACCAGCATTTTCCAGTCTAAACTTGGGAGACTATCTCAGGCTGAGATAAACAATGTCTCCTTATTCTTTCCCTTGTCAGTCCTTTCAGAAATTTTCTTTCTCATATTCTCACTACTTAATTTCTTTGGTTTTGCCGAGTAACCCAGGTTTTTAATTGCTATTTTTATTTCAACTCTGTCTTTTCCTTGCTTTATTTCCTTTTATCATCAAGTATTTACATTTATGGGCAGTTGATATTTGTTAAGCACTAATAGAATCTTAACATTTTAACAACTTAGGCATTTTATGTGCACAATAACTCTAGTAGAATAGGTGATTTATTTTATAGACTTGGAAACTAACACAAAGTAAGTTCCTACAGATCATATAATCAGCTTTTGTTAGGATTTAAATCTACATCTGTTTTTAATACCATTATAGCATTTTGTCTTTGTTACTGTACTTTAATTTTCTTACTTTGCTCTTGATATTTTAAATTCTCTTATTTTTCTCATCTTCTATCATTTTTATCTGCTAAAACATCAAGCCATAGATTAGTGTAACAGCTTACATTTAAAGCTTACATATTACTAACTATAAGGTATTTGAAAGATCATTTACAAATGCTTTTACTAAGTTTAGAATTGGATGGAATGATTATTTTTGGGAGTTAATGATAAGCTTAGGCTAGTATGTTATGGTAATGACTGAAAATGGCTTTCATTCAGAAACTCTTGAGACTATTGTATCACAAAAAAAGTATTTGCTGTGTATTATAGTAATTTCTTCATCTAAAATAAAAGATAACTTGCCAATAATAGGTCGTGGGCAAGAATGAAATATCATAAACAAAAGAATATATTCTAATCAAAGCAACTTTGTACCATAATAAAAATAGGAGCCAATGAAAAATTATACTGTGAGAATAGAAGCTAATTTTAGATCCTGCTTTGGATGGATCTTTCATCTTTTGTACAGTTACCACTTGCAAGTTTTCCTTAAATAAAGGTAATGCAAATTATTTTCGTGTGATAACTTTGCATGTTTACATTTTGTTTCATAAAATTTTTAGTGTATGTCCTTCTAAAAGTTGTTATTTCACAGGGTTTCATCTGCCCATTATGTATGAAAAGATGTATAACTGCTATTGACTTGTCGGAACATTATCAGAAAGTACACGCAGAAAATGAAACAAGAGGACAGGAGCTTCTTAATGACTCCAGTGTTACTGTGGGTCCTGTGTATTTCATTTTAACAGCTTGGTTATGGGTTGCTCAAAATAGCTTTGTTTTTCCCTGCCTGGGTGTTCGTTACCTTTTATGCTACAAGGGAGTATGGATTGCTTTGATTGTGCATGCTTAAATGAAGGCTCAATAAGAAAAATAGTCTCTTGCATCATCTGCTCGGTTTCTCTTACTGTTTGCAACAACCCTTTTGTGAACTTGTAAATAAATATAAAAATCAAGTTAATATTTTTACGTACATTTTGTCATAACATTTGAAACATTTTGCCATAACATTTGAAATGTAAAGTGATATAACTTCAGCATTTGTAAAGTATTCCATTTTATGTTTGCATCCATAATAGAGAAACATTTTATGTATTTGATGAAAATTTTTTTTTACTTCAAATGAATGGAATTGGATTTTTAGTAAAGAATGGGTTTTTTTTATAAAGCCCCATTTTATCACTGAATTAATGAATGACCTTCAGTATTCTTTAACATATGATAATCGAATACATTGTATAGGGATATTCTTATGAGTTTGTGTTCTAGAAAGCTTGCTTTTTATCTTTGTTATTATAAAGGTGATGTACATAGTGGTTACATTTATAAAAATCAGGTAATGAGTACTTTTTTAAAATCTTTGTTGAGAAGGTGATGAGTGGGGGAGGGTGTTACAGTTACATACATAAGGTAATGATTACATTTGTTTTTAAACATTGTTACCCCATCCCTTCAGTACATTTCTTTTCGGACAGTGTCACTCCTGTTCCAGTTTTCTTCCAGTTTTTCGCAACATTCCCACCTTCAAGTACATAGTTCATTTTATACATAGAGCTTGTTCTATTTTTTTTTTTAAATTGATAGGTTCTTGCTTCCTTTTGCATCCTCCATCTCTGCCTCCTGAGTAGATGGGATTGCAGGCTTGACCCCTGAACTATTTTTGTTTTGTTTTTGACTTTAATTTGTGATCACCTCCTTCAGCCACTCTTGTGCTGCTATTATAGTAGTCATTCCACCCACCATGCATGGATAGAATGGCTGATTTCATTATTATCCATTAGAATTTTTGAGTGCAAATGATTTAGAGAAGTTTAAAGTTGAAAGATATTACTATTGTGTATTTGATTGATTATGCTAATATCTAATATTATAAATACTACTGACAAGTGAATGTTATAGAAATCATATAAATACTTTTCTAGAGAACTAACAATTAGAGAGAAATCCATTTTAGTCTTTGACTTGTTAATACATTTTTGTAGGTGTGTATATATATGTATACTGTAATTTTAATGCACCCAGTTAATCATTAATTCAGTTTCATAAAAAGATACTTTTTCATATGTGTATAGTCTGTCTTCTCAGTTTATTGAAGGCTGAGATTGTATTTTACAAATTATATCTTCCACAGAACTATCATAGAATTTAAAATGATACCAGAACTTGGACTTTAAACAGGAAATTACAGTATGAGTTTTGACTATATTTTTATATATAAATTGTTGTGTTATATAAATACTATTTTGAAAGTTTTTCTCTGCCCCCCCTTTTTTAATAGGGCTTTATATGTCCCCAGTGTATGAAATCTCTTGGATCTGCTGATGAGCTTTTCAAACACTACCAGGCAGTTCATGATACTGATAATGATTCAAGTCATGGAGGGGAGGCTAATCTGGCTTTGAAGAGGTACAGTATGATAATTTTGATATGATAATTTTGATATGATAATTTTGCTATGGAATGTGAATGTCATATATGTCATAATTCATAATTAGTTTTGAAAATAACTCTTTTCAGCCAGGTATGTTGACATAGTTCTGTTATCCCAGGCTGAAGTAGGAGGATTATGAATTTAAGAACAGCTTGAACTTCATAATGATATCTTATAAAAACAAAAAATCCTTTCTTGAGTCCTGTTGGTTGTGACTATTATCTTTATTCCTATTTTTATTTCTATTATAGAACTGAGAGTTATGTATAACATTTACTTACTTACATGCTTACTTCTTTTGTTAGAATGCACAACTTGAGAGTTTGGCATAGATAATTCATGACTGTTGAGTAAGGACTCATTTCTTCTTTTTTAATACTAGCTCTATTTTACAGATGAAACTGTCATACTGTCATATATCCGGTCTACTCCTGTCACCAGCCTAGAATATTGCTCTCCTGCCAGTCTATCCCATGATTTTTCAAAATCTTGCTAATACATTTTACCTCTGCTAGAGTAGGCTTGCCTTTCTTAATTGTTCGAACTGGCCATTTTCTTCTATTCCCTTTTTTTTTCCCCCAGGGCTGAGGACCGAACCCAGGGCCTTGCGTGCGCCGGGTAGGCGCCCTTCTGCTGGACTAAACCCCCAGCCCCTCTTCTATTCCCTTTAAGACTAGATTCAATTCATTGGAATTTTCCTACTCAACTCCTGTTTTTGTATTTTCTATCATGGCTGCCATTGGTAGTGAGATGGAGCAATGAGGATGCCATTATTTGCTGTTTACTGTTCAATAGAGGAAGATACATTCTTGACATCCATAATAATAATCTTAAATGAGAGATTCGCATGGACTCTGTCCTGCATTTGGGGCTAACAAAATGTACTTACAATTCTTTGTCAGTTTGTGTCTTAGATGAAGGTAGTGAGAAGCTTCTGAGACAGAAAAGAGAATGTCATACTCAAGAAACAATTTAAATGAATAAAGGGGATAATTCTAGATCATCTACATCTTGTAGTCCTTATTAATAAATTTAGATTTCATGCTAACTGCATAGGAAGCCATGAATGTATTGATGGTAAACTAATAAAAGATATTTTGCTTCTGCTCTAGTCACTTGAAGGTGTGTAATTATTTCTTTGAGCAAATTTTTTGGTTTGTTTTATAAAACATGAACTATGAAATTATTTTTCTAAGAGCTTATATATATATGGTGTTGTACAATCTTTTTTTTTTTTTGTCCGGTTGTAGGGCCTGAACTCTGGGCCTGGGCGCTGTCCCTCAGCTCTTCAGCTCAAGGCTAGCGCTCTACCACTTGAGCCACAGCGCCACTTCCGGCTTTTTTTCTTTTTGCTTATGTGGTGCTGAGGAATCGAACCCAGGGCCTTGAGCATGCAAGGCTCGCGCTCTACCACTGAGCCACCTTCCTAGCCCTTGTACAATCTTTAGTAGTTTTTAAAAAAATAATTTGGAAAACTACAGTATTAGTATCTAGTAGTTATTTTTTAAGAGATAAGTTTGTAACTTAAAGAAGATTAACTATTATTTTCTTCCTTCTACCCATACATGTTTAGAGATGATATAACACTACTCAGACAAGAGGTACAGGACTTACAGGCTTCACTTAAGGTGAGAATTAAAATACTTGTTTATTTTCTGTGTTTCAGATTAAAAATATTTTAAAATTTACTAATCAAAAATCTCTTTAATTAGGAAGAAAAATGGTACTCAGAAGAATTAAAGAAAGAATTAGAAAAATATCAAGGACTGCAGCAGCAAGTAATTGCTTTTTTTATTGGCTTATGTTAGATATATATGAGGAGATTTCTTTGTTACATTACCATACATGTTTACCTTGTATTCCAATCAATTTCACCCCTATCTATTATACTTCCTGCCCCCTAGTAACCTTTCTTGAATACTTGAAATGTGTTTTTTTTTCTTTTTTTTTTAAATTGTGAAAATATCATTCAGAGTGGTTACAATTACATGGGCAAGATAATGAGTACATTTCTTATCAAGCATTGTTGCCTCCTCCTACTTGTTTATTTTCATTGATGAAAATTAAGCATAAAACCTTTTTGTAGTAACACTATAATTTTAGAATTTGATTTTCTGTGTTTAATAGCCTATAACATATTCTTTGTAATTCTTATGAATGGAAAGAAATGTATGAGAAAAGCTCCCACAGAGTTTAAGCCCCAGGATTAACACCAAAAACAAAAAAACAAAAAAAACACCAAAGAAAAACGAAAAAAAAAGTCTCCCTTTCTCTTGCTCTCTCCTAGTTTTCACTGCTGTCACCACCTGGAAGTTATATAGTTCATTTTTCCATGATTTAAAAAAAAATTAATTATTTTAGTGGTGATAGTTTAATGACATTCTAGCTTATTACTTTCATATGATGTTTTATACGGTAACAATAAGGAGACTAGCAAGGTATGATTTTATAATCATATGGTTTATTACTATACAAAGAAATTTCTTAGATCTACAATGCTTAAACAAGGGTATAATAATGTTAACAAATCTCACAGAAAATATACCCAATAGATGACGTACATTAATTATATCGTGGGTTCCATAAATTATTAAGTTCTTAATTGCTGAATCATGTTAGAAGCACATCTCTGTGGAAGGTAAAGTTAATTAAATTTTGAGATATTTCTTTTGAGTAGTCTCTTGGGAGTGATATCCAACCTAGTAGGGAGAGATCACTTGCTGCTAAATGAAGGTACAGATGATACTTCAGAGTTAAAGGCCAAGTGAGCCTGAGCTATGTATGGGTTTTGGAAAGGTAGTTGAGAGAGTTCTTGCCTGCTTGGGTGCTAGATTTAAGCTTTTACTCAAGCTGAGTGCTGGACTTAAAGCTGTGAGACTCTTAGGTTTAAATATAGTAGTTGAGGTTAGTACCTCACAGATGGGATTGTATAAGCTCTGATATCATATATATATATATATTTATATAATTCTATCTTTGAACTGGTAAAGTGGTTGTTAAATCACTGTTAGTCTGTCTAATTACACCTTAAGGATATGGAATAATGAGAACTCCTAAACTTTAATTTTAGACAAAATCTTGCTATTTAACCTGGACGACCTGGCTATCGGACATAATTTTAAGACTGAAAATTATACAGTGCTGCCTTCTCTTTTTCTAATGCATTTGTCTTTTTTTCCCACCAAGGAGCCAAAGCCTGATGGACTGGTGGCTGATTCATCATCAGGTAAACTTAAAACTTTTCATTTTGCTTTTATTTTCTCATTCTGTTTTTTGTTTGTTTAATGCCTACTAGAGGAATTTTATTAGTAGTTGTACTTTAAGGCTGGAAAACACTCAAGATAATTCTAGATGTAGAAAGTTACCCGTGTACTTCATACTTGGACAGTTGACTGAAATCTTGATGTTTTAGTTCATTATATCCTGAAGTTATAAACTTCTAAAGTATTACCACAATATTATTGTTTAATGCAAATTTAAGTCTGTATTAAAGAATGATACAGTTTTTGTCCCTTGAAGTAAATTGATGAAACTAACATTGTTGTGTCTTTAGAGGAATGTTCAACAAATTCTTAAAATTAGATTGTGATATTAGATGTTGTATTTTGAAAAGCTCTTTTAAGAATGAAGCAATAGTAGGGTACCATGGCTTATGCCTGTAAACCTAGGTATTCAGTATGCTGAGATCTGAGGATTGCAGTTTGAAGCCAGCCTTGGCAGAAAAGTCCCTGTGAGAGTTATCGCCAATCAACCACTCAAAATGGAAGTGCAGTTGTGACTCAAAGTGGTAGAGAGCTATCCTTGAACAGAAAAGAGCTCAGGGCAGCACCCAGACCCTGAATTCAAGCCCCACAATGGATCAAAAAACACAAAAAAGAATGAAACAATTTTATACATTTGATTGTGTACTCGAAGTTTTTCAAGTACTTGATCTTAACCATTTCTAATTTCATCTTTTTTTTTTAACTTACAAGAAGAGCAGAATTTCTACCTCTAATTAGATAATAGACATGTTGATTGTCATTACTCCTACAATAATTACGATATAGTTAATAACAGTTTCATATATGCAACTAGCATTGCATTTAAATAACTGCTATACATTTTTGCAGAACTGCAGTCTTTGGAACAACAATTAGAAGAAGCTCAAACAGAAAATTTTAATATTAAACAAATGAAAGATTTATTTGAACAGAAAGCAGCCCAACTTGCTACTGAAATTGCAGGTAAATTTAATTAGAATATTTTAGCTAAGTATTCAGTCTTACTATCTTTTCTTACTACATATTCTAGAAAAAGCCATAGTGTTTCAATGTAATAGGGTGATTGCTATAATGGTGATTATTCAGTGGAATTTAATGATAGTACAATTGCTTCTTCAAAGGACATTTTTTTTCCTGTAGATTTTTATTGAAATTTACAGAAGATAGATTTTCTCTTGTGGTATTCTAAATGAATAAAAGATAATATTTTAAATAAGTTAATTACATAATGTAATAGGCATTTAATGCTTGGTTTTGCCAGCAGGTACACGTAACTGGAGAGTTTTTTATTTTTGCTTGTTACCATTACAAAGTTTTTTAAATTACCTTTTAAGTAGTTGTACAAACACATTGCTGTTTATGAATATAAAACATTGAATGTGGTTAAGTATGTATTAAAATGCTCATTGGCTTAGTGTTGGGGGGAATTTATGTAGACAAAAATATTTCACTGCTTTTTTTCACTGATCATTTAATATAACCAGAAATGTAATTTTATTGTGCATATTTATAATTACATAAAGAATGTGAATTAGCTGGGAGCTGGTGGCTCACACCTGTAATCCTAACTACTCAGGAGGCTGAGATCTGAGGATTGCTGTTCAAAGCCAGCCCAGGCAAGAAAGTCTGTGAGACTCGTATCTCCAGTTAAGTAACAGAAAACCAGAAGTGGCACTGTGGCTGACGTAGTAGAAAGCTTGTCTTGAGCTGAAGAACTGAGGGACAGCACCCAGGCCCAGAATTCAAGCCCTATGACCGACCAAAGGAAAAAAAAAAAGAATGTGAATTAGAATTAGAGTGGCATATAGATATATAGAGTACTATATAAGAATTTTAAAAACTGTCTTTTAGAGTTAATGTCATAAAGCTAATATTTATATTATTATATATGATTAGATTTAAAGTCAAAATATGATGAGGAAAGGAGTCTTCGAGAAGCTGCTGAACAAAAAGTGATACATTTGACAGAAGAATTAAACAAACAGGCCACTGTCATTCAAGATCTGAAAACTGAGCTGGTAATTTAGAAACTTTATTGGAATTGTACCTTTCTAGAGTAAAAAGAAATGAAAACTCTGAAGATTCTTTTTTTTTTTCAATTGCTTTTATGGTGCTGAGGAATATACTTTGAGCATCATATATATTGTAGAATATACTCTTTCATATGCTGAGGAAATATTTTATAATTAGTTAGAATAAACGGCGGGAAGTAAAAAAATGACCTATATCTTGCCATCTGTGATATATACTGAAAACAAAAATGGTATATTATTATGCATGACTTATTACCTTAACATTTTTGTTATTTAAATATGTCTTTTTAGTGTTTTCCATATCTTATTTTTCCTCACACTTTAGTTCTATAAAAACACACCTACTTTTAGGATACCTTCAGTTTGATTTCTAGCTTTCATTTAAATTTAATTTAAAATTAACTTAGTATAAAATCCAAGCCATCATATTTCTTCCATGACTGCCTTTCTCTCATTGCTACCATAATTTACATTCTCCCAGGCTTCACAGCCTTGAGTTAATCCTTGACTTCTTTTTTTCCTTTATAAATATATGAATCAATTAATTAATTATAAACCTTTTTTTGGTCCGTCATGGGGCCTGAACTCTGGGCCTGGGCGCTGTCCCTCATCTCTTCAGCTCAAGGCTAGCACTCTACCACTTGAGCCACAGCGCCACTCCCGGCTTGTTTTCTTTTTGCTTATGTGGTGCTGGGGAATCAAACCCAGGGCCTCATGCATGCAAGGCAAGCGCTCTACCACTGAGCCACCTTCCCAGCCCCAATTATAAACCTTAATGATGCTCACATCTTTTCCTTCTTAAAATATTTTTTTTGTTGTTGTTGCTTATAATGCTGGCGATAAAATCCAGAACCTTATGCATGCTAGGCATAAGCTCTACCATTGACCTACATTCTTTAATTTTCATTTCTAGTTTCCTAGGATAGAAATGGGAAGACTACAACATTTATCAAGTCATTGTTATTACTAATGTATACTATTTGTGAAGGAAAAGATAGCAAATAAAACAGTAAAGATAAGTAAAGATAATGTGCAGTTGTGACATTAAACCTCGAAGTTGTAATACTATTAAATACAAGGTAACATGGGAAGAATAGGTTGCCTCATTAGGGAGGAATTGGTGCTCAATATTTGGAGTAAAAAGTTAATAGTAAGGATTTCTTTCATTCTGATTTCCTTTTAGTGAAACTGTTCTAAAGATTGGCAAATAGTTGTAATTTTTTGCTGTAAATTTTAAATAAAATCTGTTTTCATAGCTTCAGAGGCCTGGTATAGAAGATGTTGCTGTGCTAAAGAAAGAACTGGTCCAAGTTCAAACTCTAATGGATAACATGACATTGGAGCGTGAGAGAGAATCTGAAAAACTCAAAGATGAATGTAAAAAGTTACAAGAAGAATATGCTAACACAGAGGTAATGAAGTCAGCATATTTAAATGTAATTGAGAGTATAGAGTTTATTATTGAGTAAAGCCTGCATTTGAAATTTTGCTGAGTGGCCTTTCAAAATGCCATCATTTCATTTGATCTGAATGGTAGTATATCTGCAGTCATTGTGGTTTGATAGTATGTCTTAATTTTATTTTATAAAGATTGACACTTGGAGTGGAATGTTTTTATAATAGATTATTAATTTGGTAAATAAATGACACAAGAAAAGATTGTATTTAAAGTTAAATTTATTCAAGGCTAGTTAATAAATTGTAATTGAGATTATCTTAATTTTGTAGGAATAAAGGAAGAATGATACTTAATTCATACTCTACAATTATACCTATATTATAAATACTGTTTGTTTTGTTCATTTGGAGGCTTGAACTCAGGCTGTAAGCTTTTGGTCTACTTGTTTGTTCATGGCTGGCAGTATATCACTTGAGCCATTTCAGATGGTCTGATAATTGCCTTATAAATGAATTTCTGCTATTTAAAAAAATTATTAACTTTGTATTTTCCCAAATTATTTAATATATTAAGTCGAGAACCAGTGGCTCATGCCTGTAATTCTAGCTACTCAGGAGGCTGAGAGCTGAGGATCGTGGTTCAAAGCTAGCCTGGACAGGAAATCTGTGAGACTCTTATCTCCAAGAAACTACTAAAAAAAAGCATGAAGTGGCACTGTGGCTCAAGTGGTACAACATTCACCTTTAGCAAAAGAAGCTCAGAGACAACATCTTGTGTTCAGGCCCCCCCTCCCCCAATTTTTTTTAACAATAACTTGAAATGCTTTTGAATTGTATCTTTCACCATTTCTGTATGAAAAAATTAGTTTGATTCCTTGATCTCATTTATTTGTTTATAACTTAATTAGTTTTTAGCTTTTATTTTTTTCTGAGTCTGTTGTGTGCATTTTATGAATTCATTAATATTTAGTCCTACTTATTCTTGCTATGGGACTGAACTATATGAACTTAAATATTTAAGCCAACAGTAAAGCCCATTAAAAACCATTAAGGAGGGAAAAACAGAGAGAATGAGCGAAGGGATGACGTTGTGCAAAAAGAAATGCATTCATTACCTGACCCATGTACTGTAACTCCTCTCTATACAATAAAAATTAAAAATTAAAAAAGCCATTAAAGATACTTAAGATCCAAGAATTTATCCCTTGGCATTTCTAGTTGGAACTGAAGACATAGAGAATGATTTATGTTATTATACGTCTTAGTGTTCATTGTTTTTATTGAAAGTATTTACCTTGTGAATTGATTGGAAATGGAATATTTAAAGGTTACATGTTATTTCATAAAATATATACAGTTTAAAATACTAAAGTTTAACAGTGGGTGTGATCTTCAATGGAAATTATTTAAGAAATTTTATTTGTATTCCAGTACATTCATTTGCAGCCTGTGTTTTTTTTTGGTTGGTCGTGGGCCTTGAACTCTGGGCCTGGGCACTGTCCCTGTGCTCTTCAGCTCAAGGCTCCCACTCTACCACTTGAGCCACAGTGCCACTTCTGGCTTTCTGGTGGTTAATTGAGATGAGAGTCTCATAGACTTTCCTGCCTGGGCTGGCTTTGAACCATGATTCTCAGATCTCAGCCTCCTGAGTAGCTAGGATTACAGGTGTGAGCTCCTGGTGCCTGGCTGCATCCTGGTTTTAAGTGCAAAAAGGTTTATATCAGTATAGAATATGTATGTTAAAAGCCATGCAAAGTTTTTAGGGCATTTAAAAATTAATATGTATATGTATTATATATTTATATATAGTAATTTGAAACCATATTCATAGGCATATTTGGTCATTTATATTATGTGCTCTATGTGTGTTTTTGTCAGTGTTGTCTTCCATCTTTCATCCATCATTTTATTATTTTTCTGCTTTCTAATGGAGATGCTTAAATTTGAGGTAATGTGTTTTTAAAAGCTTTTTAATATTAATAATATGCCTTACATTTCACCTTTTCATGTCTTAAGACAATTTTATGTTTTAAGTCAATCTCAGAACTTCAAAGACACATACTTATTTTTTTGATTTGCTATCAAGCAAATTTTCTAACATATAAAAATGATTTTTTCAATGCTAATAGAATATTAAAGCAATACTTCTAATGTATTTAAAGTACCAACAGGATTTTTGATCAAAGTATTGTTCCTTAAAACAATTCATATTGAGTGACTGGGAAGGTGGCTCAGTGGTAGACTGCTTGCCTTGCATGCATGAGGCCCTGGGTTTGATTTCTCAACACCACATTAGCAGAAAAAGCTGGAAGTGGTGCTGTGGCTCAAGTGGTAGAATGCTAGCCTTGAGCTGAAGAGCTGAGGGACAGCGCCCAGGCCCAGGGTTCAGGCTCCACCACTGGCAAAAGAAAACAAAAAATCATATTGAATTCAGTAACATATAGTATCAAGGAAATGCAAACTTGTATAGGATCTAATATGCTGTTTCTGTGATAATAGCTATCAGGTGAGTAGAATTGTAATCTTTTTGGAGTGCGTATTAAGTGGCAGGAACTACTTTAGGTGTGAGAAATATAACACTGAATATGAGTGCCTGATCTTGAACTCAAACAGTACGTAATTAAACTATTTGGGACATCTAGTGTGTGTGTTTTCACTGCTGTGAAAGACACTTGAGAGAAACAATTTAAAATGAAGAAAGATTTGTTTGTCTCACTTTTTCAGAGGTTTCACTTGAAGATTGGTTGAATCACTTGCTTTGACCTTGATGTGAGACAGAATATTATGACAGTGGGAGTGTGTAGCAGAGGCTATTTTCTTCATAACAGACAAGTAGCAGAGAGGAAGGGGTTTGGGGACAGAATAGATCCACCAAAGATATGCTCCCAGTGACCTCCTTCCTTCCACTGAATCTACCCCTGAAAGTTTCCATCACCTCCCAGTAAGGTCAGCAAATAGATTCCATCAGTAGAACAATTCATTGATTAGGTTTAGGTCCTCACAATCCATTCAACTATCAACGATTGGATCCATCATGTGAGTCCATCACCTGAGTCTAGTCCCTCTAGCTCTTGAGTCTTTTGGCGGGGGGATCTTTCATATCCAAACTGTAATGTGACAGAAAGAACAAAGATGTTATGAAGATTGCACATTGCTTGTGCCATGATGGAACATTTGGGGAAATTTTAGTTTAGAATGGTGAGGAATCATCTCAAGGAGGATCTAAGTGATAATAAAGTTAGGTAGAATCATGGTGAAGCACTGAGTGTGAAGATCTCTGGGAAGAAGTACAGCAGATGTTGAAATCAAAGGCATAGATGAGCTTGTCTGTTAAACTGCAAGGAGATGCAATGGAACAAAAGCAGAGATCCTAGAGTTTCAATTATTGTGACATATGAAGAGGGAACATATTTTATTCCTTTGAAACTGGTCTTTAATATTTTATAAAAGATTGAAACAATTGTAATTCATCTTCTTCCTCCCCTTCCTTATGGTTAAAGTCTACCTTTTAGTATGTACTCCTCCCATGCTTTTCATTTTTGGAAGAGATTTTCATCTTGACCAAATTATCTTTGTAAAAATTTTAGATTTTAAAAAAATATTAAAATTTAGTGTACAAAAGGTAAATACGATACCTAAATTTCTAGTTCTTTAGTTGTTTAGTTTGTATCACTATTACAATGAATTAGTAGCCTATTCATTTCTTCTTTAAAATTAAAGCACTCATTTGTAACATATGCATGTGTAACTATTAATATGTTAAGAATGTTCTAAAATTATTTCTTACCAGTAATACAAAATTTATTCAGTAAAAAAGATACAGGCAATGGAAAAACTAACTTTAACAATATAAAAAGCAAAACCAGCAAACAATATTAGAAATACAGATTTCTTTGTTCATGTGATTTGCAGGAAACCATTCTTAAAAAACAGTAGCCTTTTAAATGTTTGAACTTTCAAGAATTGAAAGTTCACATTGCTAATATCTTTGCTTATTTGATTTTCTCATTTTTTGAAAAATAAGCAGTTATTTTAATAATAAACATTAATTTTTGTGGATTTAAAAATGTTAAAGTACATTAAAGCATTTTTTTTATGCCAGTACTGGGGCTTGAATTCAAGGCTTCACATTCTTGCTTGGCTTTTTGTCTTAAAGTTGGCACTCTGTCATTTGAGCCACATGTACATTTCTGGACTCTTGCAGGTTAATTTGGAGACACTAAAGCAAGGTTGTTTTTGTTGTTGTTGTTGTTGTTTTGTTTTCCAACTTTTATACCTGACCATTGAGTGATCTAGCTTAATGAAACCACATGTAATTTTAGTTAGAAACTTCTTAGGACAAATAATTAGAAAGGTGATTTGCAAAGATCAAAGATGTTTGAATATATATACCTTAAAAGGAAAAGCTTTTGCTATGGAAATTCAGAGAAATTAAAAATGTAGTATCAGAGAATTGAAGTATACCATTTTAAAACCAATAAAGTTCCCAGCTGGTCTCTGGATAGATTAAAATATTTCATTTCATGTATCAGTGAATAAATGAAGTTGTGCATCTTGGGTAAATTTTAAATTAATTTTAAACATTTCCTAAAAGGGTGAGGCAGAAGAGAGTGTTCAAGTAAAGAAAGAATTTGGAAGTTCTACGTATTATTTCAGTTTAATCACATCAATATATATATATATATATATATAATCTTAAGGCCTTTTGTTTCCTTTCATGTACTTTTTCACTTAGTTTACTCTTGTTATTATTTTATTTTGTAGGCTACAATAAGCCAGCTAAAGAGTGAACTTGCCAAAGGCCCTCAAGAAGTTGCTGTATATGTACAAGAACTACAAAAACTTAAAAGTTCAATTAATGAATTAACACAAAAAAATCAGGTGAGAACTTTAAACCTACATAGTGATCAATTCATTTTTATCTATCTTAAATTTTAATTTTTATGTTTTATTTGTATCCTAGTTCAAGATAATGTCCTTATGTATGTATATTTATTTATGTTGTATGCGTGTATATTAATGCTCATAGTTTTGGAGCAGGGATTAATACTAATTCTTTTCCCCTATTCCTGTATTTTCTTGGTGGTGAGAAAGTACAGAGCTATTAAAAAAACTCTTCAAAGATATGATGAATATATTGGCTTTGCTTTAATTACTTCAACCTAATATTTTGGTGGACTATCACATGGGAAAGTAAAAAAAGAAAAAAATGATGGTAGGGAAAATTGATAAACATAATTGTCTATAAGTATTAAGCCTTCTTCCACAAGCATGTGAGTGAGCTTTGAAGCTCATTCTTCATTCTACCATGGTCTTGAGAAACGTAGCTCTGTTCCCACTTTATGAGAGACTATGGATCCACCCATTTAATCTATTGATCCTCAGACATTATGTGAGGCAGTAGATGTTGTAAAGAGTGCTGCAAAGGTTGAGGGACATTTGTTGCTTGTGTCTTTGACTAGTAGTTCTCTTTGTACTCTCAAATATATTAAAGATTCTAAAACATTTCTTGGATGGTGTGGAGGAGAGAGTACATGTATAGATACTTCCTATATTATAAATTTTAAAAGAATTAATTAATTTTTTTTTTTTGGTTGGTCATGGTTGCCAGAACTCTGGGCCTGGGTGCTGTCCCTCAGCTCAAGGCTAGTGCTTTTCCACTTGAGTCACAGTGCCACTTCCAGCTTATTTTCTGCTTATGTGGTGCTAAGGAATCGAACCTCGAGCCTCATACATGCGAGGCAAGCACTCTACCACTGAGTCACCTTCCCAGCCCCTTACTTTATTTATAAATGTTAACTACTTAAATCTTAACCTAGTGTTTCTTAAAAAAATTCAGTTAGACTAGTGACATTTTCTCAAGTTTTTTAAATACCTGGCTTAATAGAAGACGGATGAATTGTGACATAAATGTGAAGTAAATGAAGAAAACTCAATCTAACAGAGATAGGTAGAAAAAAGAGAAATATCCAATAGCTTTTTCAGGTAGTTGTATCTATTTTTATTTGACACTATATTAAAACTTAGTAAGAGGTGCTTTCTCAAAATGTAGTAACAATGTAGAATATAAAACCATGTCAATTGACATTAAAATTCATTGGTCTGCTTTGCATTTTTAGTTTATCTTTTCTTTTGCATGATTTTGTAGCGTCATCTATTATGTGGAAAATATTGGCTCACTGAGCTGTTGCAGCTTGTAATGTTGACACATCTCATTGTGTAATACGAAAACAATGACATCCTTTAGTATCATAGTCTCAGAATAGGCTTTAAATATGAGGAGACTGTCAAGCTCATGATAGTGGATACAAGTTTTCCATGATTCTAACTTTCATTCTAAGTTCATTTGAATTTTAGCAATGATATAAGTACTAAAAATTTTATTCCTCAAATTGACAGGTTTTTTTTCCTCCACAAATGTGAATAATTTTTTTATTTTTTCCATTGCCTGGCTTTTAGTTCATTCTTGATTGTGCATTGTGTTTTAACTTTAAAAAAAATACTTTTGGATATGCTTGTTTCATTTAGATTACAGTTTGTTTAAGGTACAGAGGTTTTTTAAAAAAATTGTCCTTATTTCTTTATTATCCCATTTCAGACCACTGCATATAATAAATGTACCCTCTTTTTAATATTATTTTTGAATTAACATACACTTTTAGTGTGAGGGGGTTTCACTGGGATATTTCCATCTATAAACACAATGCACTAACTTCCTCCACCATATTTCTATTCCTCCTTATAGTACTCTCTTATCCTAGCTCTTTTTCTTACAGGAGTTAAAATTTGGATCCATATTTTATGCATTAACTTGTTAATTTGAAATCTTTAATGTTATTTGAACTGGGAGTCTAGGCTTGACATTTAAGTTAACTGATCTAGATTTTTGAGGGTTTTAGTTATATTTCACACATGATACTGTTGAGCAAAATAAAATACGAGGCAGGAAAGTGTTATTTTTAGGTCATATTAGTATATTCTTATATACTCAATAATTTTGGTCTAGTTTTAGTCTTTATCAAAAAAAGAAAAATGTTTAGTCAGTGTGAATAGACACACTAGCACAGTGATGATAATTGTGATGTTGTGGCTCTAATCAACTGAAATTACAAAGTCCAAACCAGAATTGGCATGATGTATGTATCTGTTTCTAATTTTTAACTCATATGGAAATAAACATTCATGGAAATAAGCTTATTTATTTCCATATATTGCATATCCAAAAGAATTCAGTAGATTTTAGTATTTTCAGTTTATGTCACATTTTCTTTGCACTTCCTATGTAAGTTTACTCATGTGGACCAATAATAAAATCACGTTAGAATATAATTCTTGACTAGAATGGTTTGTTTTACTTTGTAATATTGACAAACATTTAATAGCAGATAGTATGGCCCCAAAATTGTTTTAAAAATTGGATAAATTATCTATATAACATTTTGTACATCTCGAAAGTGAACTTTACAACTTTGGCGCGGGAGGGGAGCGGAAGAGGAGGGTGGGGGAGATGGGAAAGGATGGTAAGGGGAAACAAAGGAGGAAGCAACAATGCTTGATAAGAAATGTACTCATTACCTTGCCATGTAATTGTAACCCCTCTGTACAGCATTTTCACAATTTAAAAAAAAAGAAAAAAATGGATAAATTAAAAATAGCAGGAAAATAATAAATTTTTAAATTGATTTTTTTCAGAACTTAACAGAAAAGCTGCTAAAGAAAGAACTGGATTATACCCAGTTAGAGGAGAAGCATAATGAAGAATCTATGAGTAAAAAGAATTTACAAGTAATCCTTCATCAAAAGGACTTAGATTGTCAGCAGCTTCAGTCAAGGTTATCTGCATCTGAAACTTCATTGCAGAGGATACAGGCAGAACTAAGTGAGAAAGGAGAGGCTACACAAAAGCTCAAAGAAGAATTATCTGAAGTAGAGACCAAGTACCAGCATCTTAAAGCAGAATTCAAACAACTACAACAACAAAGAGAAGAAAAGGAACAGCATGGGTTACAACTCCAAAGTGAAATTAATCAAGTAAGGGATCTTGGGATTTTTTAGAACATATTTTAATAACATATATTAGATATACAGAAAAATTTCATTGTGGCATTTCCATGTATACATACTACGTACCCTGATCAAACTCACTCTTTCTTTGTCAGTTGTTGGGCTTTAACTCAAGGCCTGGGCTGTGTCCCTGAGCTCTTTTGCTTAAGGTTAATACTCTACTGCTTTGAGCCACAGCTCCACTTCCTATATTTTGGTGGTTAATTGGGAGATAGGAGTCTCACAGACTTCCCTGACTGAGCTGGCTATTATCCACAATCCTCAAATCTCAGCCTCTGAGTAGCTAGGATTACAGGCAGGAGCCTGGCAAACTCACTCCCATTAAAGGTATTAGTTTTATTTATGGTTTCCTCTTGGTGTACTTAATTGATACTTGATAATAACATAATTTTATACCCTCAATTGTCAGATTTTTTTTTTTTGGTCAGTCGTGGGGCCTGAACTCTGAGCCTGGACACTGTCCCTCAGCTCTTTAGCTCAAGGCTAGTGCTCTACCACTTGAGCCACAGCACCACTTCTGGTTTTTTCTGCTTATGTGGTGCTGAGGAATTGAACCCAGGACCTCATACATACGAGGCAAGCACTCTACCACTGAGCCACCTTCTCAGCCCGCCAGATCTTCATTTTTTTTAAGTTGTTTTTTTAAAGAAGAAAGGTAGTCTATAGCATTATTGTGAAGCATTTATGATTTAATACAGATAAATTGCTTATAATGTTATCTGGCATATGATAGATACCTGCTAAGTTTTAGTTAATAAGAAGGTGAGTATTCTTACAGGTAAGGATTCTTTTCTCTTTTTTGTTTTAAAATATAATTATTATAAATCTAGTAGCATAAATATTAGGTATTTTAAAGGTACTTTACACTGTTAATAGTTTTTTAAAATTTGCATATTGCATTCATCCATCACCCTCATAGGACTGTGAACTTTACAATTTGAGAAATTTATTTCATTTTATACTCTGAAAGCCTCTTGACGCAAAGATTTCAATAAGAAAACTTTCCCCTTTCCTTTTTACTGTCTTTAAAGACAGTAGGTATGATTTGTTTTACTCTCCACTGTATTATTAGCACCTTCTACAGTGCTGGTAAAATAACGTAGCTGACAATTGTCAGGACTTAGTATATATGTTTGTGTTCATGAGCACATCTAAAATAACCACAGAGAAATAAGGATTTATTACTAAAAGATTGGATGTCATCAATTTATTTTTTATTTATTTATTTTTTGCTGGTTAGTGGCTCAAGCTCAAGGACTCAGGTCTTTCCATTTTCTTAAAATTTGAGCTATACCTCCAATTTCAGCATCTTGCTAGTTAATTGGAAATAAGAGTCTCTCAGGTTTGTCTGCCCAGGCTGGCTTCAAAGTATAATCTTCAGCCTCTTGCATAGTTAGGAGATAACAACCACAGCTATTTAATTCTTTTTTTTAATTGTTATTGTAAAGTTTATATACAGATAATGAGTACATTTCTGTTTGATCATTGTCACCTTTTCCCTCATTTTCTTCCAGTTTTTTCCTCCTGAATCCTCCACAGGTTGTATAGTTCATTTTCAACGTAGTGTCTAGTGAGTATCTGCTGCATTCGTAACCCTTTGTCCCACCATTTCTGTGCTCCTCCTTGGCCTCCCCCAAACAAATGAAATTATATATAAGACAAAAAGTACAGAAAACAAAACAACAACATAGGAGAAACAAAAACCCGAACCAAAAAGCAAAATAACAATAAATGTCATTTCCATTTCTTGGAGTTCATTTTGATAAACATCTTTTTTTATGATCATATGCACGTAGTTGTTGAGCCTTTGTGATCCTCTCCTGAGAACATCCTCCTCTAGTCTCACTGTGAATGTCATGAGTCCTGTATAATTTATCATGTCTAAGTATATTTTTGTCTTTTGCCATCTAGTGTATTTACTTGTATATAGGCACATTTTAGTTACAACAAATGAGGGAAACCATACAATCTATGTTTCTTTGGGTCTGGCTTGCTTTGCTTAATATAATTTTTTCCAAGTCTTTCCATTTCCTTATGAATGGTGCAAACTGATTGTTTCTGATGGAAGCATAGAATCCCATTCTATAGATATATATACCACATTTTCTTGGTCAGTTTGTCCACAGAGAGGCATCTGGGTTAAGAACAGTGTTAGAGGAATATTAATACCAAACTTCAAGATTTGTTGCAAAGCCATAGTAATAAAAACAGCTTGATAGCAAAAGAATAAGCCTGAGTACCAATGGAACAGAAGACAAGACCCAGAAATGAACCCACAGACATATGGCCACCTAATATTTGGTAAGGGAGCTAGAAACACAGAATGGAAGAAAGACAAACAGTGCTTCAACAGATGGTGCTGGCAGAATTGGCTATTCACATGTAGAAAATGGAAGCTAGATCCTTATATATGATCCTGCACCAGAATCAATTCTAAATGGATTAAAGACCTCACTGTTAAGCCAGCTATCATAAACATATTACAGTAAGGGATGGGGAAAACACTAGAGCTTCTTGACACTGGTTAAAACTTCCTAAGTAAAGATCCAGAATCGCAGCAAATCAAAGAAAGACTGGATAAGTGGGATTGCATCAAGCTGAAGAGTTTCTGCATGGCAAAGGACTTAGCAAGATAAATAGTCCACAAAATTGGAGAAAAATTTTTTACTAGTTATGCATTCAGACAAGAGTTTCCTATCTAAAATATACTTAGAGATAAAAAAATTAACCTCCCCCCCAAAATAAATCCTTAAAGAAGCAACAAACCAATTAATAAATGGGCTAAAGACTTAAAGAGAGATTTCTTAGGAGAAAAAGTAAGAATGGCCAATAGATGCATGAAGAAATATTCAACATCTCTGGCCATATTAGAAATAACTACAAATGAAGATCACATTGAGATTCCACCTCACCCCAGTTTGAATGGCCATTATCAAGAAAACCAACATTAACAGATGCTGGAGGGAATGTGGCCAAAACGCCATTACACTGCTGGTATATCTCATTTGAGAACATGATAAACTTGTTCAACCACTCTGGAAAGCAGTATAGAAGCTCCTCAAAAGACTAAAAATAAAGCTTCCCTATGACCCAGAAATTCCACTCCTGGGCGTTTTCCCAATAGACCACAAACACGGCCACACTAAAGTTACCAGCACAACCATATTCACTGAAGTATTATTTAATTCAATTATTTTATTATTATAATTTTTATAAAATAATTTTATTAATTTATTAAATTGGATTGTTTAATTAAAAATTATCTAGAGCTAGGTGCCGGTGGCTCACACCTGTAATCCTAGCTACTTTAGGAGGCTGAGAGCTGAGGATCACAATTCAAAGACAGCCTGGGCAAGAAACTCCACGAGACTCTTATCTCTAATAAACCACTCAGAAAACTGGAAGTGGCACTGTGGCTCAAGTAGAGCACTCACCTTGAGCTGCAGAGCTGAGGGACAGTGCCCAAGTCCAGAGTTCAAGCCCCACAACCGACCCCCCAAATATATATATATATATATATATATATATATCATATAATATAATATACATATTATATATACAATATTATGTATGTGTGTGTGTATATATATATATACACACACACACACACACACACATATAAAACATGCCATCTCAAATAGCATAGTGGTTGATAAGCATGGACTGGAGTACCAACAGCCTGAGTTCTAGTTCAATAGGCTGCAAGTTGTGTGATCATGAGCAAACTACTTAGTCTGTGCCTTAGTTTATTCATCTGTAAAATGAGAAGAATAATGAAACTTTCTTCACAAGGTTGTTCTAAAGATTAGTTATTTGTGAGATATGTAGAAGATTGTTTGAAACCTAAACATTGCCAGGGGTATAGTTAATACAACCCTATATAAATATTTAAAACTGTTTAGTCAAAATATGTTTCACAGTATGACATTATAGACCATCCAATGTGTATTATTTTCATATTGGGATTAACACCTTTGTTCTCAAATGATACAGGCATAATTGTTAAGGTGACTTTGGTCTACTTCCATCTACTGACAGCTGTGAAATTCATTGCTTTGTTAAAGATTTAGGACTTATCCAGAGTTGTAGAGCAATAAATTAGAAAGCTGTATTTATAATACAAATCTCACCCGTCAGTCCTCATTATGGAACAAAAGTTGTCTTTAATTCAGTGGTAATGAAATGTGATCTTACATAAAAAGCACAGGGGTGATTTTAATAATGACCCTTGTTCAGGGCCTCATTCTTGGACCTCTTAAATATTAATTTCTGGCATAACCCTGGGTATCAGTATATTTAAAAGTTTCCTCTATATTGTACTGTTCAGCCAAGATTGAAAATTGAGGCTTTTTAAATTGCTACTGTTTTGGCAACTAATTTGTGAGCTTTCCTGAAACTAGATGTTGACTGGTTCTTGTTCTGAAAACATAGATTCTTGGGCTTCAGTGCATATATATTAAGCTTAAATTACTAGGGGAGAAGTCTTATTTCTGTATGTATAGACAGTGACATCAGGAGATACTAACGCAACACATTCAGGCACTAGGCATGTACGATGCCTCTGTGTAAGACATCAGATATGAAGATGCTTCAAATATGAACTTGTTGTACAGGCTTCTTTGTTTTCATATATCAGGATTGAGTCTTCTAGTAAGGCCAGTAGTAGTTACTACAATAAAGCATTTTCCCTTTGCTGGTTATCTTAGTTTATGTCTCTCAACCAAAACAATAAGGAAGAGAATAAAAAGATCTGTCAGGGTGCTGTGAAAAACAAGGGCAAAAGAAACATGTTTTCTGTAAATAATTAGTGTTTTAATTAGACATAAGATGTGTTTTACTTTAGAAATATATATATATATGTATATATATTATTCTTACATTCTGATAGCTACATATAATTTCATTGCATCAGAAAGAATGAGTATTTCAGTTTTCTTACAGAAAATTATTTTTTCATTGCAAGTATGAATTTTCATGAAGAAATATGTGAGTATAAACATTTGTACACAAAACAAATGTAAACATTTATGGATAGAGTTTATAGAGTATAGAAAATATGATAGAAGACTAATAATTCTTAATATTTTCAGATTTAACTTGAATAGTTCTGCTAAAAGCAATACAGGGTTTTGTTACTTTGCAAGTCTGTCCAGTGCATCCTCTTCTCCATCCTCTTCTTTGTTCTATACTCCCATCATTTGTTCAATAATTTTTCCTGAATTAGCACAAGCTTTATTCTTTTTTAATTAAAGAAGAAAAAATAAAAGCTTCTTTCTCCCTAGTTCTTCTAAGAAAAGGATAACTATTATTTCTGGTAGTATTAGAGAAAACAATTGAGAAAATGATAGTTCCTGTCTTCAGGGCAAATTTCTTCTTTAGTTTTAATACCTCTCTTCACCCCCATGCTGAGAAATAAACCCAGAGCTTTATATGTAAGTTCTGAAGTATATACTGTACAGCCCCTGGGTAACATTTTTAAATGTAATAAGTGAGAATCATCTAGTTTTTTTTGTTGTTGTTGTTGGTCGTGGGGTTTGAACTCTGGCCTAAGTGCTGTCCCTCAGCTTTTCAGCTCAAGGCTAATGCTCTACCACTTAAGCTACAGCGCCACTTCTGAGAATTATCTAGTTTTTAAATTAATAAAATTGTTTATTTTATTTACAAATTATGTACCAATTTAAGGATTTAGGAATGCCTTGAGCTTCATTTAAAACCCCAAACTGAAAGGTCAAGTGTGGTTCTTCTTTTTTTTGGGGGGGGGTCAATTGTGGGGTCTGAACTCTGGGCCTGGGCACTGTCCCTCTGCTCTTCAGCTCAAGACTAGCACTCTACCACTTGAGCCACAGCACCACTTCCAGCTTTTTTTCTGCTTATGTGGTGCTGAGGAATCGTACCTGGGGCCTCATGCATACCACTGAGCCACCTTCCCAGCACAAGTGTGGTTGTTGTTAATATGATATAAATCGAACAGTAATCATTCTGGATTTCTTTAAAACACTTGTGAAGTAGGTCTTTGTGTGACCTGAGTATCATAAATTTGTTTCATTTTATTATTTTAAATTTCTCAAATGATAACAATACTTAAATCCAAACGAGAACACCTGGTTCCCAGTATTTTTTAAAAGAGCAAAAAGACAAAAATCTATAATGCTTGCTCATAATCTTACATTATTTATTATAAGTATGTGATTAAAATTTAGTTGCAATTTAAATTATTATGTATTTCTTAGGTTTCTTGAGTATAAGGTAGTATACTGGTAAAAAATAAGATATGATTTGGAAAGTAGTGTTTACACTCATATACATATTTATACTATTTTAATTTCCTTTTTAAAGTTACATAACAAACTTTTGGAGACTGAACGCCAACTAGGGGAAGTCCATGGTAGACTGAAAGAGCAGAGACAGCTTTCAAGTGAAAAGTTAATGGATAAAGAACAACAAGTAGCTGATTTACAACTCAAACTTTCTCGCTTAGAAGAGCAGGTAAGCTGACATTTTTAGTGTGTAAATGCTAGAAAGTTCATTAGTAAACTTGAGGCATCTTAAATATGGGAATGGTTCATTAATCCTTTATCAAGAACTTTATTGGACTTTTTTCACTTTAAATCACGTTTTATTTCTCCCCAATAAAACCATCCTACTTATTGACCACATTTTTGCTTGTTTGTTTGAGACAAGGTCTTGCTATGTAACATAGCTCAGGTTAGTCTTGAACTTAATATCCTCCTGCCTCAGGCTCTCAAAACTAAGATTATAAGTATGTTCTATCATGCCTATTAACTACATTTTTAAGTATGTGACTGAATTCTATCCTAATTAAGTTTTCACAATGACACCCTTATGTGGTTAGAATAAACATTATCTTCAAATGATATATTTTATTTGAACAAATACTCAAGATTAAGATCTGTATTGTTAGGAATAGATTTCCTTTAATTTAGAGCTAATATTTTAGATGTGATATATGATTAATTTTATTTCTAATAAGTGATAACTATGACTATTATAGAAAAAAGTAAAAAATACTTGTACTATGTTTTAGTTTATTGTTACAAATAAAGTATACATTATTCCTTGATGATATTGGTATACAAAAAACGAATGAACTAAATAGCTTGAAGGAAGTTTTACTTTTGTAGGATAAATCTATTTCTAGAGAATATGTTCTTCATCATGAAATTAAAAATTATAAATAATGAGATATTGCTTTTCAAATTGCTTTACTATATTATTTGAATTAATATTTTGGTTCAGGTTTGAGAATTCCAGTAATAAATATCAGATGTTAATGGATGAGAGCATTATACACTAAGTTGTTAACTGACAGTCTACATTTTTTTTTAAGTTGAAGGAAAAAGTAACAAACTCCACAGAATTACAACATCAATTAGAGAAAACAAAGCAACATCATCAAGAACAACAAGCCCTTCAGCAAAGCACAACAGCAAAACTTCGAGAAGCTCAGGTAAACACTGTGTTAATAATTAATCTGTTAACAAAAATTAAACCAAATTGTTTTATTGTGATGGAACTAGACAATGAAAAATACTTGATTATAGAAGTTTTGATTATTTTCAGTGTCTGTACAGTCAAGAAATTATTTTTTGTCCATGGTGAAAGTTAACATTTCTTATTTATTATAAAAACTTATTATATATTTATATAAGATATTTTATTTATTGAATTTTATTATATTGTTTTATGTTAATTTTCTAAATTTATGTTAAATGTACCCAGCTTAATACATTCTATTGAAATTATTGATATTTTTTGTTTATTGAAATATACCTCATTAAACATAAAAACATTCAAATAAAATTTCTTGTTTTTTTAGCTCAGTAAATAAAGAACATTTCATATTTTCCACAATGGAACTTATTATTTATTGGTGATGCCTTTTACTTATTAATATTAATCTGAACATTGTACTTATAGGTATAGAAAATTAATTGAGTTAAGTTTATACAGTTTCTCCTGCAAAGCTTAAAAGGTTTAGATAAGTTTATTTTTTAGTAAGGGAAGTATTCTAAAGTGCTTAAAGTGAGTTTGATTTTAGTAGTCATTTATTTTTCTTTTGTTATTCCATTAATTAATCAAATACTATTGAGCACTGTATGTCAGACACTGTGATCAGCACTGAGAATAAAGTGGCACAGTGCCTGCCATTTAGGAATCTAATGGTATGTATTGGGAATAATTGTGGAGTCTGAGGGGGCAGGAAGTAATTTTTGCATTTTGAATTTGGAGTATGGCACAGAAATCAGACAAATAGAGATGAAAATATTGGATTCATTTGTCTGTTCTTTTATTCAGTCAGTCAACAAGTATTTATGTCTACTCTCAGCCAAGGAACTGATTTTGTGACTATGGCAGCGAACAAAACAGACAAAAATGTCTGCTCTCATGAAGCTTAGTAAGGGAGGCAAACAATAACCAAGGTAAATAAGTAAAATATATAGTATGTTAAATGGTGATAATGCTGTAGAGATGAAAATAAAAGGAAAGAAAAGAAAGGAGGATGACACTTAGACATAGCAGCAAGGATGTAGTAGATAAAAGTGGGATTGTTATGTTAGGTAGATGACTAGGAAAGACTTCTCTAAGATAAAAGACCTGAAACAGGGTGAGTGTGAGTCATGGATATCAGAGAGACAATCATTAGAAGAACATTAGAAGGGCCTATGGCAGGATCAAGTCTCAGCAATGATAGGAAGTCAGTGGCTGAGGTGGTGTGAATGATGATTTAAAAGGGGGCATAGAGGTCACAGAGAATCAAAACATGGAAGGTAATTCATAGACAATTTTAAGAAATTGATATTTATTAATCTTTGAGTAAGATGAGAGAAATCACTGGCAGGTTCTGAGGAAAGGCATGACATGATATGATTTACCATGTCGCAGGATTACTCTGAATTATTTGTACTTTCTATAATAGAACTTAGTATTGAGAGTAGATTCTAGGGGTATAGAAGTAGAAACAGACAGATTAGCCGAGAGAAACTATGATAATTTAGACAAAGAATTTTGTGATTTAGACCCAAGTGGAAACAGTTTAGGTAGTGAGAATTGGTCTGATTTCAGACAGATTTTGAAGATGAACTTAATTTCCTATAGACTGATACAGAGTATTGAGCAAGAAAACAAGATAACAAGGGCTTTGGGCCTGATGAATCAGAAGGATAGAGGTCAAGCAAGGTAAAAACTGACAATTTCATTGTATTGGCCATTAGTCTTTGAGGACCTTCATAAGAAGAATTTGAGTAGAGAAGTGTGATGAAAGCTTTATTAAAAGATTTCAAGAGAGAACTGAAAGAGAGAAGTCTGATTATGTTTGAGAAGTTTGATGTTGGATTTTTATGGGATTTTACTATAAGTAGGGTAGTAAAGCTAACATGGAGAATTTGACATAAATCAGCATCCAAATGGACTTTTTAATACTGTATACTTAAATTAAGGTTTATTCATTTAATTGTATTCAAAGATGGAAATACAGTCTTTAAAATTCTTACATGAAAGGAGAAAATGGGGCTCAGTTGAGCATGTTTAGTTTCTTATTCCACACTTACCAATAATTTTAAATTCTTACTTTCTGAGGACTAATAAGAAAAAGATGAAAATAGAGGCCAAGCATAACCTCTTATTCTGGAAATACGAAAGTCCTAAAAATTAAGTGAGAATAGTTCTGAATTTTGACATGTAGATAAAATTATTATGGAAACACAGATGAAAGTTACCAAACCCAAACAGAGTCTTGAAAAGAGGAGTCACAGGAAACTTTAGAAGTGATAATCTGAGTTACTGGGGGATAGTTCTGGGGTACAAAGATAGTAATAGTGTTATGTGCCAGCTAGAAGCCTCAAGTTTGAGGAAAGAGAAACTAGTCTGCTTTAAAATGTTAGGTTAACTAGAAAACCGGAAGTGGCGCTGTAGCTCAAGTGCTAGAGCGCTCGCCTTGAGCTGAAGAGCTGAGGGACAGTGCCCAGGCCCAGAGTTCAAGCCCCACTACCGACAAAAAAAAAAAAAAAAATGTTAGGTTATGTTGGAGTTTAATATGTGAGAGAAATTTTTAACTCAGTATGAGTATAAGATGGAATGCCCAATATGATCAGTGAAAGAGTAAAGATTTAAAAACAGGTGGGTAACCTTGTTCAGTACAGTTTCGATAAAGTGATAGAAATGAAAATCTGATGTTTGATTGATGAGGAGTGACAGATGAGAGAGTTGGGAAAATAAGTATAAATTACTTTTGAAATTTAAATTTGAATTTTATAATGATGGGGTAGAAATGAAAGTGAACTTTATCTAGGTAATATTTTTGAGAAAAACAGAGTATGTTTCTAGTCCAGGACAAAGACTATGGTAGAAAGGGAATTATTAAAGATATTGGACTCAGATAATAATAAAAAGAAGCTATGATGTGACTCATACAGTGGGGGAATACATTTGAATTTACCCACTGAAACTTGAGAATGGGAAGTAAATATGGAGACACACATATACACATACATCCATATGTAGTTCTATTGATAGGAGAACAGAAAGTGAAGATATATATTCCTGACAATCTTATGCTTCAGCATAGAGCTAGTGATAGTAATAGCTGAGTGTTAGGTAAGCAGAGATTGAGAACTTGGAGAAAATATTTTAATATTAAAGTAGTTACCAAGGAGAATGATTGAGGATGAGGATTTCATTCAGATGAAAGGATTGAAATGATTCTCAGTATAATGGAAGTTGGAATCAAGAAATTTGAAGTGGCAAAATTTTATGGAGGTGTGTGCTTTTTTTGGTACTGGGCTTTGAGCTAAGGACTTGGTATTTGCTCATCTTGCTACCTTAGTCCTCCGCTGACATTCTCCCGCTTGAGCCATACCTAGCCTACTTTTTGTTGGTGGTTTTAGAGCTAGAGTTTCACTGACTTTATTGCCTCAACTGACTTTGAACCATGATCCTTTAATCTCAGTTTCAGAATTTGGTACTTGCTCATCTTGCTGCCTCAGTCCACAGATGGCATTCTACCAGTTGAGCCATACCTCCAGACTACTTTTTGCTGATAGTTTTAGAGCTGGAGTTTCATTGATTTTATTGCCTAAGCTGACTTTGAACTATGATCCTTTAATCTCAGATTCCTGAGTAGCTAGGATTAAGGTGTGAACTGTAATTTTTCCAGTATTTTTAACCTAAATTTATGAGAAGTATAGAGTGGAGAAAATAGATTGTACAGTGTATCTCATATTACGATTTTTGGGAGATAGCTGCCTTGGAAATATCGAAGTGAAAGGAAATAGGGGATGTAGTTGAAATAATTGTTAAGATCATATTCATGAGAAAGTTTTAGAAAGATAAGCTAAGTATGTAGTGAGTAATCTAGAAGGAAAATGATGTCTCTGGCTTGCAGATGAGGTCATGAAATTGGAAGGTAGTCAGAAAGATGTGGTAACAGTAAGTTGGAAGTTTTTAGCTGGAACAGTTTTAGGATATTACAAGCTCCTATGTTAATGATTGCAATATGGAATGAATTAAGGTCCAGGAATAAAGACGATATGAATATGAAGGCTGTACTGTTAATTCTGTGTGCATTTTGTATTTCCCAGGAAATTGGCAGAAATTGGGATTGAGAAAAACTAAATCAGGTCTCAAGTCTTCATTGAATGAGGTAGGGATTTTTAGACAATAGCAGTAGGGTATAGGAGATAGCTTAGGTAAGAATGGTTAATTTTTCAAAGTGGTACAAAGCTTTTACATGAAAGAAAGAATGGTGACAACAAAAAACAAGGAAACAGCCAACTTTCTGTGCTTACTCGGTGAGTAAGCCTTTCTGACCAGAGGTAGTAAGGGGAAATTGGAGTCTGTAAAGGGAAGATCCACATTTTAATCAAGACTTAGAAACAGTGACTCTTCTGGAAATAAGCTTACAACTGAAACTATAGTTCTAGTTAGAGGAATGTGGAGAGAGGAATTATTGGTGGCAGGAACAGAAGCTGAAAGTAGAGAGGTTATGCTGGTTTTCATTATTTCGTGACTGAAGCCTAGAAGAATGACAAGTGTGTTTGAAAGTGACTTTAAATACATTAATATTGGCACAACTCATGGAGGGTACAACTAGCTTCTGGCTTTGTTTCATTAAGGTGGTGTAGTCTACCTACTAAAGGGAATGGTTAGAGTTTTGTTCTGGTCTAGGCTGTCTTAAAAAAGACAAATGCTGCAGGATCAGATAGCTTGAGAAAGTGAGCATTGTTCTGGAGTGAGCCATTGCATTGTGAAGAACAAGAAGAGGGATCTCTTCATTTGTGGGACAGCCTACCTAGTCCAATCACTTATTGTTTTTATCCATTCCATGAATGTTTTACAACACGTGTGTCAAGTATCTTAGATATGTGTCAGTGAATAACACAGAAAATCTTGTCCATCATACATTCTAAGGGAGTGTGGAAGGAGGTAGATAAATATTAAAAAACAAGTGAATTATTTAGTGTGTTAGAGGTAAGTGGATGAAAGAAAAATATAACTGGACATGGAATGTAGGAAAAGGCTATAAATTTAAATTGGTCAACTCAGCTTAGGCTTGATTGAAAAGGTGACATTTGAGCAAAAATTTGAAGGAGAAAAAGGGATCATATGACTCTGTGAGGGAAGTACTTCAGGATTATGCATGCAAAGGCTCAGAGGTGGGAGTGTGCCTTGTGTGCCAAGGAATAATGAGATCCAGGTGTCTGAAATGGAACAAAAGAGTAGAAGAGACAATCTGAATGACAGAAAATGAGTTTTTTATCTGCTTTTATTAAATTCTAGCTTATAATTTACAATATGGATCTATAATGTTAAATAATTAAAAACTTACATGGCAATATGTAATATTTAGTTCTTATAAAGTAAGACTAAGAATTTGATAAAATATATTCCTAGTCATTCTCTGTTGAAGGAAAGCTTTTTAAGTTTGCTGTTTTTAAAATGGTGGTTTGTAATTCTTTGCAGAATGACCTAGAACAAGTACTACGTCAAATTGGTGATAAGGATCAAAAGATCCAGAACCTTGAAGCCTTATTACAGAAGAGTAAAGAAAATATTTCATTGCTAGAAAAGGAAAGAGAAGATCTTTATGCAAAAATTCAGGCTGGTGAAGGAGAGACTGCTGTTCTTAATCAATTGCAAGAAAAAAACCATACATTACAAGAGCAAGTAAGCTTGCAAAACGTATTTCTAAAATTCACTTTTATCTCTCTAAATCATATTAAATGTCTTGCTTAAGTGATTTATTATTCCTTTTTACTACTTGTAAAATGTTATGTATTTTTGACAGATACCATCTTATTTACTTTCCTTACTATGGTGAAAGTTAGTTAACATGATTTGACAAAAGAAATTTTCATGTCCCAGGATGTAAGTAATTACATGAGTGATTCTGGATAAATCATTTCACCTTGTTATCTCCTTATAAAAATTATTAGGAATGCACACCTTGCCTCCTGGAATTTTGTGATGTTAAAAAAAGAAAAAAGGAATGAATAGCTGAATGCCAGTGGTTCAGGCCTATGATCCTAGCTATTCAGGAGGCTGGGATCTGAGGATTATGGTTTGAAGCTGAATGCCAGTGGTTCAGGCCTATGATCCTAGCTATTCAGGAGGCTGGGATCTGAGGATTATGGTTTGAAGCCAGCATAGAGAGAAAAGTCCATGAAACTCTTATCTATAATTAACCACTAGAAAGCTGGAAGTGGAGCTGCGGAAATCTAGCCTTGATTGAAAAAGCTAAGGGACAGCACTCAGGCCATTATTTTAAGCCTTACTACTGGCATAAACAAACCAACAACAGTGACAAAAACAATGAATAATAAAGTATATTAATATGTTAAAAGAATGAATCAAGTACATTACTCTGTATTGGTTAATATTCAAATTTAATAGTTATATTTTGATAATGCTTTTGTCTTTCTACAACATATAGCAAATAATGCCTCAAAAATTTAAATTTGATTATTAATATCAGATGAATTAGATTTTATCTAAATTTCAAAAATGAATGTTCTTCAATAGATATCATTATAAAAACAAAAGGCAAGGTACTCTGGGAGGAAATATTTGAGATATCTGATAATAGTTCCTATTTTTCTGACAGTTTATAAATATTCAGAATATGTGAGGGACTCTTCCGACTCAAACAGTTCAATGATTGTCTTGGGTTAGAGATGAGAAGTAAGAGTAAGTGCAGAGAGGTAGGAGAATATGTTTTAGGATAACGAAAGTGTTCCTTATCTTATTGTAGTGATGGGAAAATGAGTATGTACATTTTCTCAGATTACTAATTATATCCTTTGATGAACTTACTATGTGTAAATTATAGCTAAATGGGGATTATTTTAAAATAATATTTCTGAATTTGGTGTTGCTTCAATTGAAATAGCATGTTACTTAATTTTGGAAAGATGTGAATAATTTTACTTATAAAAATATGAAACACCAAAAAAATATGAAACAGCCTATCCTAAAACACCATAGTATTCTCTTAGGGCTTGCATCTGGGTTTCTTAGTTTTGTTATATCATTTGTGAATTTCATAATTAGAGTCTTGTTTGTATAATAGGTAACTCAACTAACAGAGAAGCTGAAAAATCAGTCAGAAAGCCATAAACAAGCCCAGGAGAATTTACATGACCAGGTACAAGAACAGAAGGCACACCTTAGAGCTGCACAAGACCGTGTCCTTTCCCTAGAAACCAGTGTCAGTGAATTAAATAGTCAATTAAATGAAAGCAAGGAGAAGGTTTCCCAGCTTGACATACAGGTAATACTGAATTCTGCTGTTCAATAAGTTTGTGTAAAAAAGACTTGTTTTTACTTCTCTTTTTTTCTGTTGTACATATTGATAAAATAGTATTAGAAATAAAATTAAAGAGAAGTGTTCTTATTTGTGTAGCTTTTAAAGTCCTTTCCCTCCCTTCACCTCCTTTTGTTTTCTTTCCCATTTTTTCAAACTTTTTTTTCTATCTGTCTGAAAACTGTATCTTCTAAAGATATTGGATGGTTTAGCTTTTCTTTGTTTTGATTCAGTCCATATTGCTTTGTACATTCAAATTCATTTGATATTATTCCATTATATTTCTAGATTAAATATGTTTGGCTTGTTTGGGCACAAATAGACCCTCATTTCAGCCAATAACTAGGCATGGTGCTATATGCATCTATCATCCTAGGTCTGCTGTAGGTATAAAAAGATGAGGGTCCAGCCTGGCTAGGGCATAAACTAGAGACTTTGCCTGAAAAATAACTAAAGCACAAAGCACATGACTTAAGTGGTAGAACATTTGCCTACAAGTATGAGGCCCTGAATTTAGCCCCTAGTATAACCACTGCCTTTCTCCCCTTACCTTCCATAAAACTCTTCAAGTGAAAAGTTTCAGGGAATAGTGAATTGAAAATATATTTCTGGTTTGTTTTGAATATGGGTTCTGACAGTCTTGAGTATCTTTGGAGCCATCTTTTTTGACACAGTTATTTAGTTCATTATATAATAGTGGTAAGCTTCAGACAAACAATTCTGAAAAAGACACTTTTCCCAGTAAAAATATGTAATGTTTTGATGTGATCAAGGAATGTCTTTTCATTGTAATCAAAACATTATCAAGAGTCATCTTTCTTACCTATTCCTGTTTGGGGGATTCACATACATATTTTTTAGTATCTAAGTATTTTTAAAATTATTTTATTGTAAAGATGCTGTACAGAGGGGTTATAGTTACATGAATTAGGCAATGAATACATTTCTTGTCAAACATAGTTACCCATTCCTTTTTCTCCTACTACCCTTCCTCCCGCCCCTTCCCTGCAAGTTGTAAAGTTTATTTCCAACATAGTATCTTGTGAGTAGCATCATTGCATTGGGTTCATATTGGCTCAATAGCTATGTACATATGACCACATAGAATGATGCTAATTGAAATGAACTCCAAGACATGGAAACAACAGGTATTTTTTTGGTGGTTGACCTTGTTGTTGTCAATGTACTGTATTTAGTTATTTCTTTTTACTTTATTTCATTTTGCTTGGCCATTGGTTTATCCCTGGCAATCACTGTCTTTGATTCTGGTACCCTGAATCTTGTGTGTACATTTGTCTGATTTAGGGGAGGGAAGGGGAATAACAAAATAAGGTTTTTTGTTTTTGTTTTTGTCGGTCACGGGGCACTGTCACTCAGCTCTTCAGCTGAAGGCTAGCTCCTTACTACTTGAGCCACAGTGCCACTTCCAGCCTTTTCTGTTTATGTGGTGCTGAGGAATCGAACCCAGGGCCTCATGTGTGCAAGGCAAGCACTCTACCACCGAGCCACCTTCCCAGCCAACAAAATAAGTATTTCTTAATCAATTTTTAAATAGTGGAGTGACAAAAACAAAGTACACTCAACCAAGAGAAAACTAAAATGCAGAATTAACTGTTAGTGGGAGTGTAAACTTGTTCAACCACTCTGGAAAGAACTATGAAGGTTCCTCAAAAGACTACACATTAGAGTTCCCCTATGATCCAGCAATCCCACTTCTGGGCTTTTACCCAAATGATCACAAACTAGGCCATACTAAAGCTACCAGCACAGCTATGTTTATCGTAGCATTATTCACCATAGCTAAGATATGGAACCAACCCAGATGCCCCTCAGTAGATGAATGGATCAAGAAATGTGATATATATATCTATATATATATCTGTACATACACAATGGGACTCTATTCTTCCATCAGAAAGAATGACACCACCCCATTTGTTAGGAAATGGGAGGACTTGGAAAAAAATCATATTAAGTGAAGTAAGCCAGACTCAAATATAGGTCCCATGGTTTCCCTCATTTGCAATAATTAGTGTATGTCTAGGATAATTTTATCAGATGAGCAGAAAAGCTAAAAAACTATGTACATATGATCATATAAGATGATGTTAAGTGAAATGAGCCCCAAGATACGGACACAAGAGGTCTTTCTTTGTTGTTATTTTTAATGTACTTTGTGATTTTTTTTTTGTTTCCTTTGTATGTTCTTCCCCCTATGGTATTCCCCTGTTGTCATTGTACTTGATTTTGGTACCCTGTATCTTGTATATACATTCGTCTAATTTAGGGAGGGGAATGGCATAACAAAATGCTGAAACGGGGACACAGGATGACCCATTGCAATAATGATACCCCCAAGACAGTATATTGGAAATGAACTTTACAACTTAGGGGGCGGCTGGGAGGAGGAGGGAGGAAGGTAGGGGAGGGAAGAGATAGTGGGAGAACAGCAAGCGAAGGGGTAACAATGCTCCACAAGAAATGGACTCTGCCTTACTCATGTAACTGTAACCCCTCTGTACAGCATCTTTACAATAAAAATTTAAAAAATTAAATAACTTGTAAATTATGTTACAGATTAAAGCCAAAACTGAATTATTGCTGTCAGCAGAAGCAGCAAAAACTGCTCAAAGAGCTGATCTTCAGAATCACTTGGACATAGCTCAAAATGCATTACAGGATAAACAGCAGGTAAGAACCTGATATAATTTCATACCCTAACCTACTGCTTTGGTTAGATAAGTTAATTATAAACACATATAAAAGCCGAGTGCTAGTGGCTCATGCCTGTAATCCTAGCTGCTCAGGAGGCTGAGATCTGAGGATCGTGGTTCAAAGCCAGCCTGGGCCAGAAAGTCTGTGAGATTCTTGTCTCCAATAAACTGCTCAGAAAACTGGAAGTGGCGCTGTGGCTCAAGTGGTAGAATGCTAGCCTTGAGCTGAAGAGCTGAGGGACAGCCCAGGGCCAGAGTTAAGCCCCATGACCGACAGATTTTAAGAGTTCAAGCCCCATAACTGACAGATTTGCTTATTTTCACTTAATCTCTCCCTGAGTTTGGGACCAGTTGAGTAGAAAATGTAGGAGCCAGGCATATGGAAATAAAAATACCTCTATCTCTGACGAAACTCAACTGATGTTCACTAGTGGTTGGGATTCCTTATACTGTATTACATTTCTTCCTTAGCAGAGGCCTTGATACGGAGATGATTCATTTACTCCTAATTGTAGAACTGTTGCCTCACCCCATCAAGAACCAATGGTTGGGAAAGATATAAACCTCCATACTTGTTTTTAGTAAGTAAGCTAGGCCACGGCCCAGATGCACTTGACACTTAGAAGCAGGAAAAGAACACTGTTTTCTATCTCAATAATAAGAATTACTCTTTTTCTTGGTGGTAGGAGGAAATAAGGGAAGGGGAAATTTACTTTACGATCAAGGTCAAAATTCCAGTCTTATGTTTTTTAGATAGAAATTTTTAGAATTTACTTATTCAAGAATTAATACTTGTTCATTTGTCCATTAAAAAAATACAGCTATATATCTAATCTTAAAAGCAAACTGTTTTCTCTATTCATCCTTTATTTAACTCTCATTTTTCTCCTTAGATGGAATATTTGCTATTAAATTCAGTATATATACCTCTAGGTCTTCATAAGCATTGAAAAATTATATAATATATATATGTGTTATACACATTAATTTTTTATGAATATTTAACCATACAAGGGAAATTAGCATATAAAAAAGGAAGGAAAGTCATCAAGACATTAACAGTAGTTATCTGTAGATACAGATTTACTAATTTTTATTTTATTCTTTTAGTGCAACTGAATATTCTAATGATTTGAGCAAATATTGCAAATATGTAAAGGTTTGGGAGGAAGAAAAGAATATCTTCCTCTCAATATAATCTGAATTTTTGTGTTTATTATCTTCATTTTGGTTCCTTCCTTGGAGACATGAAACATCTCTTACTTCCCATAACCACTGGGAAATTTTAGCTTCTAGCTAGAAGAATGATGTCTAGAGAGTAGGGTGAAGAGGTAAGAACCAGAATTAAGACAATAAAAGCAAAAAAAATGTATTCATTATATTTCAAAAATATCTTTTAGGAGGTATTTGAAGTCAGGGCCTTGTGTTTACTAGGTAGGCATTCTAACTCTCAGGCACCCATCCAGTCCTGTTTTGCACTGGTTATTATTAGGATTGCATGCTTGAATCTCCATTTTCCAGTTTTTCACTTCAGATGCAAAGTACATGCCATCACTTCCATTTATGGATTGAGAAAGTCTCTTGTGAACTTCCCTGCAAGGGCTGGCTTCAAACCTTAATCCTCCCAACCTTATTTTCCCAAGTAGCTAAGACCAGAGACATGAGCCATTGGCCCCTTGGTCCCAGAATATTATTTAAAAAATAGTGTTTGAATGTTTAAAACATTTAGTTATAACATAATAGTTACTTTGCTATTATTCCTATTTAATATTTGGTTATATATTTTGCCTCCTAAAAAATGGTTTCTGGAGCAGCATTAAATAACTAAGAATTTAGTGCATATCCAGCAAAATTAAGAAGATGAGAAAAAGGGTGGGTAGGGGAAGAATGGCTGAGAATGTTGAAAGAGGTTACATTGGTCTAGATATATTGTATTCATAGACTGCTTTGTTCAATGACAACTCCTTTGTAAATACTTAAAGATATAATAAAAAGGAAAAAATGAGGAGCTACCTTAAAAAAATTCATTTGAGGATGTATTTCTATAGTAGAGTGTTTACCTAGCATGTAGGAGTCCCTGTGTTTGATTCCCAGTACTGCCAAAAACAAACAAAAAGATTCCAAAAAGACACAAACCTTTTAATTATTTATAAGCATGAATTTAGTATCTCATACTCTGTAAAACTTTTAATAATTTTATATTAGTACATAAAGGTATATCATTTAACTTTAGTTTTTACTTCACATATTTTAAGACTTATCAAGTTTTCTTCAATTGTGCTTTTTCTGTAGGAGTTAAATAAGATTATTACACAATTGGATCAGATCACTACAAAGTTACAAGACAAGCAAGAACATTGCAGTCAGCTAGAAAGTCATCTTAAGGAATATAAAGAAAAACACCTGTCTTTAGAACAAAAAGCAGAAGATCTAGAAAGCCAAATTAAGGTTTGTACAAATGATGTTGAATTTAGTCATATTTTCTATTAAGTAGCCTTGAAATCTGATAACCTAAATGCAATAAAAAGTTTTTAATTAACTAAGTGTAATATAAGCTTTCAAAAAATACTTGTTATATTTATGTCTTAATTTTGAATTCAGTCTTTTTCAATTGCTTCATAAACAGGTGACTTTTATAAATGACAATTAACATATATACTGACTTCATTGTAAACTATTTCCAAAAGACAGTTTAACAGAGATTTACTCTATAATTATGTGGAATTTATCAAATTTTTTGTTGCTTTAATAAAGTTTCTTATATTCTTTCATTTTTCCATCTTCTTAATTCCAATCTATTTTGGATATATACTTTTTATTTTTCAGTTTATACTTACAGCTTTTTCATTTTGCTTCTAAATTAATACAGTTAAACCATAGTAAACTATAACAGAATTCCAACAGACCAAAGTGTGGATTTACTGAAGACATAAAATAAATAGATATTTCAGGAAAGGATTTGACTTGAATCTTTTGATTGTTTATCAGTTAAGGTTTTCTCAAGTTATATGTATATAACTTAGACTTCTATAGTCAAGTGAAACATAATTATTGAATTATGTGATGTGGATATGTACATATACATATATATATATATCTATATACATACATGAAGTATATGTATGTACAAAGTCTATGCTAGGTCCTCTGAAAGACTGTAAACTAAATCATTTCCTTACTCAATAATGGTTTTGGAGTTGTTTTTTTTTTTCTTTTCTTTTCTCTTCTTTTCTTTCTTTCTTTTGAGAATTGGAACTTAGGACCTTGTGCTTCTAGGTACTCTAATGGCTTGTGTCCCAGCCCTTTGTTGCTTATTTTTCAGATAAGGTCTGTTGTTTTTACCCAGAGCTGGCCTTAGACCATAATCCCCCTAAATAAATCTCTCTAGCTGGAACACCAGAAGGGAACTAATAATGTCTAGCTTATTTTTGCAATGGAGTAACAATGACAGTTTGCCTGGAACTACAATCCTGATTTCTGCCTCATAAGAACTTGGAATTACAGGAGTAATTTACATGTCTGGCCTCAGAATGTGTTTTCTACTGTAACATAAATATTTTATAGTTATTATTTGTGTGTAATATCGATAACAATTTGAATATTAAGTAGAATGTCATAATATTTAGTAACAGATTGATGCCAGGTATCTATCCACATGCCTGATATCCTAGTAATCTGAAGGCCAAAGAAACAGGAGGACTGCAAATTGAAGCCAGACTGGAAAAAGTGAGATCATGTCTTGTAAACAAATGGCTTGGTGCATAGCTCAAGTGGTAGAGAATTTAGCAAATATGAATCTTTTTGTTCAATTTCTAGTGCAGTCAATAAAAATCTTGCTAATTATTAACATTTAAAACAACTGTTACATTTTTTCCATAGAAATTAGAAACTGATACTCTTGAAGTTAAAGCAAGCAAGGAACAAGCTTTACAGGATCTCCAACAGCAAAGACAGCTGAACACAGATTTAGAACTTAGAATCACAGAACTGAGTAAACAACTTGAAATGGAGAGTGAAATGTAAGATAAACTAACTTACTTTAAAACCAAAGTTTATAAACAAAGTATTAACATTTTCTTAAGATTTTATTTTCTGTCATTGCTTTTAAAGTTTCATTAAATGTTTATTTTGTTAGTTTAATAAACTACTAATGTTAATGTGAATGAAAAATAAAGCTATCATAGTATTTTCTTTTGGGTGCCAGTCCTGTGGTTTAAACTGAGGACCTAGGCACTGTTCTGAGCTCCTTGCTCAAGACTAGTGCTCTACTATTTGAGCCACAGGTGCACTTTTTTGGGTAATTTATTGTAGATAAGAATCTTTCAGGGCTGGGAAGGTGGCTCAGTGGTAGAGCGCTTGCCTTGCATGCATGAGGCCCTGGGTTCGATTCCTTAGTACCACATAAGCAAAAAAGAAAAAAAGTGGCACTGTGGCTCAAGTGGTAGAGCACTAGCCTTGAGGTGAAGAGCTGAGGGACAGCGCCCAAGCCCAGAGTTCAGGCCCCATGACCAGACCCAAAAAAACAAAACAAAAGAATCTTTCATTCTCAGGCTGCCTTCCAACCTTAATCGTCAGATCTCAGCTTCCTGAGTTGTTAAGATTATAGGTGTTAGCCACTGGCGTCTAGCTCATCATAATATTTTTAAAGTTAACTTCACTAGAAAGGACTGAAAAATTAGATATTTTGGATCAGCTTTTGTATTTCCAAGAATAATATTATACTTGTTTCTTATAAGCAATTATTTTGAGTTGTTCACCAGATTATATAAACCAATATAAAAATTTGTGTATGTGTATATATGTGTGTACATATACCTCCCATGAAGTAAGGGAGGACCAAGTTAAAAATGTATTCTTTCTTATAAAAATGATTTTTTTCAGCTCTCTGACACCTTTTTTTTTTTTTGGTCTTTTGTAGCTTTATGTGTCTTTTTTTTAAAACCAGGGCTGAGAACCGAACCCACGGCCTTGCGCGCGCCAGGCGGGCGCCCTTCCGCTGGGCTAAACCCCCAGCCCCTCTGACACCTTTTTTTTTTTGCCAGTCTTGGGGCTTGAACTCTGGGCACTGTCCCTGAACTTTGTTCAAGGCTAGCACTCTACCATTTGAGCCATAGTACCACTTCTGGCTTTTTCTGTTTATGTGGTACTGAGGAATCAAACCCAGGGCTTCATGAGTGCTAGGCAAGCATTCTACCTCTAAGCCACATTCCCAGCCCTCTCTGATATATTTTTACAGATTGTCTGTGATTAACACCGAAATCAGTATATGTTCTTATTTGTTATTACCAAGGTAAATTATCACCCAGTTAAAGGTACAGATTTTGCATGTATAATTAGAGTTTCAGTAAGCATACTCTCTAGAACCACAGGATTTCCCCACACCTGTCTTCAGTATGGAATGTTTTTATCATTCCTATAGTTTCCTCATTTGCCTTTCTAGTCAGTCCATTTGCCTTGTAAACTTTCTATTGATTAGTTTTGTTTTGAACTCATGTAAGTAGATTCATATTCTATATTCTTTTGGTGTGCATAATGGTCAATAGACACATGAAGAAATGCTCAACATCTCTGGCCATAAAAGAAATGAAAATCAAAACAACATTGAGATTCTACCTCACCCCAGTTAGAATGGCTACATTCAAGAAATCTAATAAACAACAGATGCTGGAGAGGATGTGGCCAAAAGGGAATGCTACTATACTTTTGGTGGGAGTGTACACTTGTTCAACCACTCTGGAAAGAAGTATGAAGGTTCCTCAAAAGACTACACATAGAGCTTCCCTATGACCCAGCAATCCCACTTCTGGGCTTTTACCCAAGTGATCACAAACAAGGCCACACTAAAGGTACCAGCACAACTGTTTGTCGCAGCATTATTCACCATAGCTAAGATATGGAACCAACCCAGATGCCCCTCAGGAGATGAATGGATCAAGAAAACACACACACACACACACACACACGAATTCTCTGCTTCCATCAGAAAGAATGGCACTGCCCCATTTGTAAGGAAATGGAAGGACTTGGAAAAAATCATACTAAGTGAAGTAAGCCAGACCCAAAGAAACATAGGTCCAATGGTCTTCCTTATTTGTAATAATTAGTATACATTTAGGATAATCTTAGCAGATGAGCAGAATAACTCAATAGCTATGTACATATGACCATATAAGATGATGCTAAGTGAAGTAAACTCCAAGACATGGACACAAGAGGTTTTTCTTTGTTGTTGTTGTTTTCAGTGTACTATGCGATTTCTTTTTCCCCCTATGGTATATCTCCTATTGTCACCTTGTTTGATTTTGGATCCCTGGGTATTGTATATATAATACATTTATTTGAACTAGGGAAGGAAAGGGGAACAACAAAATGGTGAGACAAAGGACAAAGGAGGAACCTATGCAACAGTGATATTCACAAGATAGTATGTTGGAAATGATCTGTAAAACGTGGGTGGGGGAAGGGAGAGAAAAATGAGGGAAGGGGTAACAAGTTAAACAAGAAATGGAATCACTTACGTAACTGTAATCCCTCTGGTATACCACCTTGACAATAAAATTTTTTTAAAAAGAAAGAACACATAGACTCCTTTTAATAGTTGGATGATAAAAAATAAATCTAAAATAAGCAAAAATAAAAAAAGATTATGAGGGAAGGTTGAAGGCTCACTTTTGCCTCTGACAACATTAAATTGTTCTAGTACTATTTGGAAGAAAACTTTTTTCCCATAATATATGTGGTGTTGTGTATAGCCTTTATCTTGTTTCATTGATCTGTCCTGATACTGCTACATCCTGTGTTGATTATTTGAGCTTTCTGAAGTTCTTCTATCAAATTCTGTCAATCTTCCAACTTTAATATTTAAAATTTTAAAAAATATTTAAAATTCATTATTTTTCTGTGTTTTTTTTTTTGGAGGTGGGGGTCTGGTAGTGGTGCCTGAACTCTGGGCCTGGGCACTGTCCCTCAGCTCTTCAGCTCAAGGCTAGCACACAGCACCACTTCTGGCTTTTTTTTTTCTTCTATGGTGCTGAGGAATCGAACCCAGGGCCTCAGGCATGCAAGGCAAGCACTCTACCACTACTGAGCCACCTTCCCAGCCCCATTGTTTTTCTGTAACAGATTTCAATTAACCCCTCCCTCTATAGAATAAAATGTTTTTTTAAAAATTGGAATTGCATTGAAATTAGAATTCAATTTGAAGAGAATCTTTTTCCTTTCATGTAGTTTATTTACTATAGTGTTGATTCATTTTAAAGGAAAAATTATAACAAATCACTTGTATAAGCTACTTGGTTTTAGAGTTGAGCAAAATCATTTGTCTTTCATTTATTTTATGTTTTTGTATCTAGGTGTTGTCTCTGAGATTTTTTTGCTCAAGGCTAGCACTCTAGCACTGGATCCACAGCATCACTTCTGTCTTCTTTTGAGTAGTTTATTGGAGATAAGAATCTCATGGACTTTCATGCCTGAGCTGATTTTATATTGTGATCCTTAAATATCAGCCTCCTGAGTTGGCTAGGATTACAGATGTGAGCCACTGGTGGTGTCTGGCTCTTTCATTTATAATTCAGTTATAGCTTTTATATCTAATATTTTCTCTATTATCTTAATTTGTTGAGGTTTAAGACCTATCAAATATAACTTACTTTGTGTTTTTTTTTTTTTTGCGTCCGGTTGTGGGGCCTGAACTCTGGGCCTGGGCGCTGTCCCTCAGCTCTTCAGCTCCAGGCTAGCGCTCTACCACTTGAGCCACAGCTCCACTTCCGGCTTTTTTCTTTTTGCTTATGTGGTGCTGAGCCTCAGGCATCCAAGGCAAGCACTCTACCACTGACCCACCTTCCCAGCCCCTTACTTTGTGTTTTTGAGGGAAGAAGCAAAGTTCATAATGTACTTGGAAACTAACACATTGAGCAAATTCTTTAGAATGCATGGAAAACCTTTTTGGCTGTTGAATACCTGCTGTGGTTTACTATATTTAGTTTTTTTTTGTTTATTTATTATGGACAGATTAGATTAAGTCAAGAGGCTTAAATTATTAACTTGTTGCCTGAAGAAAATCATGTAATATGTTTAATGATCAAAATCAGGCATCTTTCAATTGTGTAAATTTATGAAATTAAAGTAGTTTTGCTTTTGAACTACATAAGAAAATTTCAAAACTCAATAATTATTAACTTTGATAAACTGTGCATTATTTGTTCCTTAAATACCCAGAGTATCCAGTACAAAATTAAATCTACAGAAAAAATCTGAAGCCCTTGAAAATATTAAACAGATGCTTACTAAGCAAGAAGAAGAGAAGATTGTCCTGAAGCAAGAAATTGAAAAATTAAGTAAAGATGCAACGATGCAGCACAAGGAATTGAGTAGCAGAATTCAAACAGCAGTAACAGAATTGAAACAAGTAAATACGGAGAAAGAAAAGTTAATGAGAGAGTTGTCTACAGCAAAAGAAAAATTGTCAAAAGCTTCAGAGTCATTGAAAAATACCCAAAGTGAATTTGAAAAGGAGAATCAGAAAGGAAAAGCCACTATATTAGATCTGGTTAGTTCTTTATGTTTACTTTATGCTTATTTAAGATGTATTGGGCTGGAGGTATATAGCTCAACTGGGTAACACACTTTCCTAGCAAAACCCTTATGCCACCAAAATTAATTAATTAGTAATTGTATTGAATTGTTCAGCTTAATTCACTGTTGGCTTTGCTTCCTACATTTAATTATTTTAAAATAGTTCTTGTAAATGAAAGGAAGTCTGATTTCTTACCCAGAAAAAGTTCGCCCAACATAATGGCATGTGTGCAACACCATTTTCTCAAGGCCAGTAATAGTTTCAGCTTACTGAACATTTTTTTCTGTTGTTGTTTTTATGATAGATTTTAGATAGTCTGCAACATGTTTATTGTTTCAATTTTTCCATAGAGAGTAGAGCTATCAGTGAAACTCATTATTAATGACTTACCTAGAAAAAAAAGAAAATACAAAGAATCTAATCAATTTTAATTATAGTACCATAAGTTTTCTGATTATTGAATGTTCTAAAACATTTGGTAATATTTGTTTAGTAATACCATAAAATATCTATAAATTACAGACAAAAATTAATTTCATGAACTGCTTAGAAAATGAGTTCTTAGAAATATGATAATATAAAATAACAGCAGAAGCAAAACTCTTCTGTAAAAGTGTAAGAGTGGAAGTGTTTTGGAGCATAAAAAAACCAAGATATTGCCATGCTACCTTTTTGTTTCTTCCTGTTTGGAGTTGACTTTTACTATATCCATCTCTCTTGAGTTATGTGATTATTTTTTTATTATCTTAACATTTTCTTTTAAAAGTTTTCCTGCTGCTATTAAATCTAATTATTTTACTTTGTAAATGAAATGACAAATCAATTATAATTGATTTTTGTAACATGAATGTAGTTTCTAAATTGTAATCTCTAAAGGATTATCTAAACTTCCCTCCCTCCCTGCCTCCCTCCCTCCCTTCCTCCCTCCCTCCCTCCCTCCCT